TTTAATTATAGCAAAGTATATTTACATTAAATTTAACCGACATAAAATAATTTATAAATTCACAATACTAGCTTGGGGAGCAAGTGTGTGAAGTTCTTTGGAAAAAAAAGACATATTTATTAGGCAGGTGCATGTATTGTTTAGCAAAAAAATAACTGAGGTTTCAAAGCCCCTTGTCTATATCCGGGTAAAAATAAACATTCCTATTTGAAAATCGAGCAAACACCATTGTGAAGTGCAGTGGTTTCAAGGCCCGATCACCGAGCCTCTAGAGGATTGTGAGCATTGTGACACAATGCTCTAGTGGCACAGTTGTTGCGCCCTGAAACCACAAAGCAAATGCCATACATATAGAGGGGTTTTTTTTTATATATATGCAGTTTAATTATTGCAATTTTTTATTGTTTATGATAGACATGTGAGATGAATAACCTTTGAAATTTAAAGTTGTTTATATTAATAAAAGAAAGTTATTTTGCCTCATTGAAAACGAATTTTAAAAGGCATCCGACTTGAAATACTAAGACCTAACACAAGTATGATTCTGCAGTCATTTTGTGTTATTTAGAGCTAAAAGATGAGTAATCAATTGATTTTCACTAAAAAATTTCTGAAAGAAGAGGAGGAAAAAATTCAAAAATTGGTGGTTTCAGGGTGAGACCACCGCGCACCAAAGGGTTAAAAAGTGGAATACTTGAACACAATGGTACCTAGATACAGAAAGTAAGCACATTCATTTAAAGGTATAAAACTTGACATAAATGGTTTTTCAATAAATCATTCCCTTATCCAAGTGTTGTATTTAAAATAGCCTTACTTTATCTTGTGTATGCTTGATATATATTTTAAACTTCAGCCCATCATATATCAGTTTTTAGAAGATATACCAGGATGCTTCGAATTTAAACTACAGATAAGCTTTAAAAATTGGAAAAATTTTTTAAAAATAAATGCCTTAGAATTTGAGCTTGGATGGAAATAAAAAATATACTCATTGCCATACCTGCCAACCTCTAAAGATAAAAATTCAGAAGATTTCTCCAAAATTCAAGAAGAAACAGATTATATATCTTTGATATTAAAAAAATACAATTAGACAAATAGAAAAAGAAAATTTACTTACCTTAGAAATCTCAGTAAGTGTAAATAAAAAAATTATTACGAAACATAAACAAGAACTTATGTTAACAAAATTATGAATGAATTTTTTGGCTTAGCCAAATTCTTTGGAAATTCCTGTCATAACAATAGTTTCCACATAACATTTGCAATTAAAATGTTTTCTAGAGTTTTTGGTGAAATTGAAGAACAAAAGTTGTTTTTCTTTACACACTGAGACTCTCTCGACTAGCATACTGTGTGGAATGACATTGGATCTGAATTTGAAAAAAAATCATCCACTTTCTTTGACATTGTCGATGCTTAGTTAGACGTTGTCGAAGTTAGACTTAACATGCTTCACAATGGCACTTCTTCCACCGTGACTTATTATGAAGTCACACACGCACACGTTGCAAGGCTGAAAATATTAAGAATACGGTTTTTTTGAACTTATTTTGTAACAACGAGGTATTAAGAAAATTCGTAGCAAACAGAATTCGACAATCCATGCTCGCTGAGTCCGAGCTCAGTAATTGCCTTGCTGGTGAAGCAAACGCGAAAAAAATAATCTGGCGCCCACAAAGAAAAGAGTGGCAGGGAAACAAGTTCAGCACCAAAATCGCTGAATTGGCGAAATTCTAAAATTTCGACAAAAATCATAAAACACTTGAAAAAGGAAAAAATCGTTAAAAATGATTACGATCGTTAAATCATAAAGACAAAGCATTCCTAAAAAATTACGGAAAAACTCGTACAAGTTGGCGGTATCAGTGCTATAAACTTTGCGCACAAAAGTACTGTAAGAAACTTGATGAAGGTAATGTCAGAAATATGCAATGTTTGAATACGTGGAGTGTTCATTTATAGTGCACAGATGCGAATTTGTTCTCCCTGGTGCATAAAGTGTTACCTGGAAGCTCAGCGGTGAACATCTCAATCCTGTCTTCACATTGCAGGGATACACCACTCCCACAACTAGTGTGGGGTGCTGTCGCATACAATGCTTGTTTACATCTAATATTGATCCAGGGCACTATGGCAGCCAGGAGTATATTTGTGACATCCTTCAGCTACCTGTGTTGCCACTCACATCAACTTCCAGAAGGCATTTTTCAACAGCCTTATATCAATGCTCAGCCACCTACAGCAAGGGTGACATAGGAATGCCTTTGCCTCACAGCTTCCTTTCCTGGCCTACTAATCTCCAAATATGTCCCCAAACTGAGCATTTTCAAATCAACTGGGATGGCAAATAAGAAGCACAGAAGACTGGTTGAACTAGAGGTGCAACTATTATAACAGTGGAATGAGATGACACATGACACTATATGGTACCTGTATGCCTCAATGCTCACCTGTATTGTATCATGCATTCATGCTAAAGGTGGCAGGGTACTCTCCATTTGAATCTTTTTGTTTTGTAATAAATGATCCTTTTTTTTAACACGCAAATTTTTATGGCAACTGGTGTATTAAAAAATATAAATGATTTTATAATAGCTATATAAAAATAAGAAACATTTTTATTTGCTTCAACAGATTCTAATATACATATAAACTACATAATTTATTGAGAATCTTTTTCAGATAAAGTCTTTGAATTTAAACGGCATCCTAATTTTACATCTTAAAAATGTGAATAAAAAGTGGGGCATAAATTTGAAGTAATACAGTATTTTTGTAAATCTAGATAAGCATTAGGTTTTATAAATTTAAACATCCAATTACATAGATTGGAAGATATTCACCTGACACACATCATAACTCTTCATTGATTTTCACACCTAATTTTAGATATAATTTAAATCACATCTTAAAAACATGAATAAAAAAGGGCTATAAATTTGAAGTAATACAATACTTTTGTAAATCTAGATAAGCATCAAGTTTTACAAATTGAAAAATTCAATTATGCAGATGGGAAGATATTCATGTGACACACATCATAACTACACATTGATCTTCAAACCTAATTTTAGATATACATTTCTAATACTAGAGGGGGGGAAATGTTTTTATCATTATTGTCACTTACAAGATTAATTCAAATGCATTACATATATATAATAATTTTGTAACAACTTACAAGTTCAGGTGTCATTTCTTCTAACTTGCTGATTAGGTTGGTGAAAAATTCAGCCATATCTTTTTGTTCTCCAGTATTTAACAGCTGATGATCCATTGTGTACACTTTACAGAACCCACGTGGATTATAAGCTTTTCTTTCACTTTCCTAGAATGGATAGAAGTATTTAATCATGCACAAGCACCAAAAGAAGTCAATATGAATGACAGTAACTGTTTTTAAATCATTTACTTCTGAATTGTTTTGCTAGTATGTTTTTTCGAGCCATCAACATGAATATTAAATTTCAGACGCATTAATTTAATGAACCTTTTTTTATATCCAATGTATATTCTGTAAAAAAAATTTCCAGCAAGTACATTTTCTGATGTACCAGTATTATTAAATTGGCCACCATAATTAATATAATAGTATTCTTACAGCCTTCAATTTCTTTGACTACATTTTAACTTTTAATCATTTTTCTTAGATTAATTTTCTGGTAATTTTTTTAAAAAACTTTATGCTTCTTTTAAATTTGGAGTTTATAATCCCTTTCAAATGCTAATAAACCTAATCATTTTTGCTACATCTTTGCAACTTTGTATCCATTTTTATCACCAACTTATCCTTAAATAAGTTATGTCTTAATAACAGTAAAATCATTATATTCATTGATTCAGTTTCTGCATAACTAATAAATTTGCTCCTAGAAGTGACTATTGCCAGTTTAAAGATTCCTGATATTCCAAGTTCTAAATTCCTGTATGATTTTCATAACCAAGAACATTTCCACAGCCTACACACTTAAGTAACACATTCCAACATGGGAACTAAATCTACAAACTATTTTAATCTGATTTTTAATTTGATTTACCAACTAATTTAAGCTAAATTTTAATAACTTCCATTGTAATCAAATTCCATTCAGTAATCAAATTAACATAACAAAAATTAGAGAAATTAAATTCTTTTCTAAAAACTATATTCTGTAACTATTTTAATCTCAAGAATTGCTTTTATATTAGCTAAGTATATAAATAATAAATTTTTTCCATCACCCTAAACAGCATTTATAAAATTCTAGAAGTATCTTCAAGTTTATTCATAGATTTAAAGATACTTTTTTTTGTTATTTAAATCAACTTTTGATATCAAATTGTTCTTATGAAATATTTATGCAAAAGAATCATTAAGATGCCTAGAGGAAAAATAATATTAGAAGCATAAAAATACTTAATTCACATATTTATGAATTAAAACTTCTGGTCATACTTCATTAATAAAACCTGTTTTCCAAAACACTTATCTCTAAAACTGTGTTGATTACCGAATTCCCATAATTTTATCAATCCTAAGTGCATGTGTTCAAATAAGTACATTTAATAGAGATTTTACTTTATCACTTATATTTTAGTCCATTTAATTTCTTATACCTTAATAAATATAAGTGACAAATATAAAAAATAAAATGTTGATAAATATTTTTGTGGGAGCATAGCTAGTAATCCTAAAATTTAACACACTTTTAACCGAAAATGTAAGATAAAATAAAAAATTATACTTTAAGAATATATTTATCACTCGTTTCTATCACATTAAGTAGTATTCTGCTAAGCAACACAATAATAAATTTAGTTGTACTATTTTCCAAAGTTTAGGCACCAGATGTAATTTGATACATAATATAATTTCAATTATTTAATAACCAGAATTAAAAGTTATATGCTTCAGCAATTAAAAGATTTCACATATTCCATACATTTTTTACTTGCTAAAAAAGAAAAAGGCATTAAAACTTTTTATATGTGAAAAATTATTATTTTATAACAAAAAATTTCTTTATTTTAGCTCAGAACATTACTTTTACATTGGGAAGCAAGCAAAAAAAATTAAAATCCAATTAACTAATAAATAAACTTTGAAATTTAAATAGTTAAAAAAAAACTCTACTCACAAGCAAGTAGGCAAACATCCGCTGTAATTCTCTGAGAGTATTTTCATGCTTGCAGTTCTCATCAATCTGTTCAAAAAATTATTTTTTCAGAACAGAACAAAACATACATTTGTTAAATTTATAATTTCAAAATGTTAAAAATTGAAAAAAAAAATTTTTTTAATTTCCAAAAAAAATTTTAAATTGTACATTTTGCGCAACATTAATAGGTAATTTTAATAATTTTAATTAATTATTGAACATCAGCAAAGCGATGTTCAGTAATAATCTCAAAAACCACTTTGAATTTTATTCCAATCCATGTTCTTATACATTTCTAATTTAAAACACTAGGTCTCACTACTGACAAAATGTACACATACAAAATCTTTCTAAATATTAAAGCACCTTTTTTAAATAAATAAAATAGGAATTGCAGGCACTAGGAGAAATGGCTAAATTTTAATTATTTATTTGTTGAAAATGTATTTCAACAATTCTACCCATATAAGAATGTCTGTGAATTGGCATAGAGCCATAAATTATATGCATTACAGTATGACATGTATGTATATATATCTATATATATACTATATAATTATACATATCTCTAAACATCTCATATACATAAAAATTTAAAGCAATGGGGGGGGGGAGATTATGATTTCTTTGTAAAAGTTGAATATTTATGATGTACCTGTTTGAGCCAGACATTATCCAAATCTGACACTGACAAAAAAAAAAAAATCCAATTTAAAATGGCCAAGAAACAAACTAAAACTGGCATGAAGGGAAACAGTGAAATTTCATAGAAACAAAGATATATGACATTTAAAAAGCAGCAATAGCCAACTGAATATAGAGAAAGCCTCATTCGCTAATCTGATATGAAAAGAATGACTATAATCTGCCTGATAAGTGTGTAGGGTTTTTTAATCTATCCTAACTTTTTCCTTAGCAATCTACATCTTTATGCAATTTATTACTTCACTGTATTATTAAAAATATTTTCTTCCAAACATGAACTTTAATTTCAGGAATTTATATTAGCTCATCAGTTAAAACAAATTTAGATGGCAATTGCTCTGAAACATGAATTTTGTTGATAACTGCTTCCACAACAATTTTGTTGATATAGACACATACTAAATTGAGATAATAGAATATATTAATAAAAATAACTGTGGTCCTTTTATAACATTCTATCTGCTACGGGGGAAAAAAAAAAAAAAAAAACTATCAGAAGCAGATATTTATTTCAATGATCAAGTAAAAATATGCTCTAATGAGTTAGAATCAAATAACATATTTTTTTAGATGAAGCAAGCAGGAGAAAAGTCATACAAAATCAATGATTCTTCTCTTTTTAAACTCTTTTACTGCAATGACCGATTTCATGATTATAACCTTCAAACAGAATCAAATGTTTAAAAAATCCTAAAATTAACATTCTGACTTTTCCACATATTTTTTAATTGATACTATTTGGCTTTGTTTTACTTAAATTAAGTGAAATCTCACTAGGACTCAATTAATGCTACTATCAGAGGATGGAAATTTGCAATTCAGTATTATCCAAATGTAGCAGAAAAATTGTTAAAATTCTCAAGCAATACATACAGTCATTACAATAATAATAATCTTTGTAATATATTTTTAATAAAGTTCTACACATGGATGTTCTTAGAATTTTAATTAATCCTATTCCAGACAAGATGTGATTTTTAGATAAACTTACTATCATGGTAACACAAGTAAAGAGAATTACTTCAAAGGTGAATTTATTGTATTAAAGGTGAATGCAAGATTTCTCCACCTGTCGTACATATTTCTCTGGCATAAGGTAGTAGTAACGGAGGACGTGGGCACCATCCCTCTACCATTACGGTTAATCGGTTTTGCCCACGTCCACCCTTATCTAGTATTTATTAATAAATCAAAGGTTTTTACATAAACAAACATATGCCTTATCTAGTATTTATTAATAAATCAAAGGTTATACAAAGGTTTAGGTTCTGGCATAAGGTAAAATTTCTTTTAGATGATATTACCTTTGCTGATAAAATTGATGCTCTTGCTTGAGGTAACATATACAAATGCTGGATACATGAAGCCAAATAACAAGTAGCTCCTAAATTAGTCAATCCAACATAACCACATTCAGCTCGTCCATCTTCGTGAGGCCAGTAGTCCCATGGATAAGGATTATGAGAATCTGAAAATGTTCATATATATTCAAATTAACAAAAACAATCAGGAAAAAGGACAAAAAATATTGAACAAAAAAACAACTGAAACTGAAACAAAAACAGGAACCAAATAGTTTGAGGGGGGAAATTAAAAATATATATTTTAGATCAATCCATGAAGAAATGTGACACAACAGTGTTATAGGATTTTAACTGTTGTTGTTTCAAGAGAAACTAAACCCCTGCCCCCCCCCAAGGCCGAAACAAGCTCAACCATCAGGCCATAACAGGGTCAACCCATCAAACAATAACGAAGAACAGCGAGCCAGCCATGTTCCATCAAATTATCCAATCAAATCAAAATTCCTATCGCTTCTCTATTCTGATTAATTCTCATCATAATTTTTAAAAATCTGATATAAACATTTTTTCCAGATGATTCCCAATTTTCTTTCCATTCCACAAATATCTCCTTTTTCATAATATTTAACAACTTTCTTTTCAAATACAACACTGCAATATCTTTTTTTCCCAGGACTTGACGGATTTTAATTGTGTAACTCATCATATTGAAGCTAGTGTATGCATGCACACTACCTGACATTGAAAATAAATGCAACACCAAGAAGGCCCAAAAATGATGCAAATTCCAGGGTAGACACATGTCATCGAGTTATGCAAATAATGTGAAATGCACAGCTCTCCAGTGCAAGCTGAAGAAGACATAAGGTAATGAACCTGCAAAATGTTAAATTTTCATGCCATAATCTCTGCTAGGAAAATCATTATAGAAAATTTGTTCTTGTCTCAGAGGACGTGTTTAATAGCAAAGAATGCCAGGCCGTCATCAATGGAGGCAGTTCCAGCACACAGACAATTTTATAAGGAGCATGGTGATTGGACTGAGAAGGCAGGGTGGTCTATATGGCAAGTCTCAGCAGACACACACCTAGACGTGTAAACAGAGCACCCACAGGCTGTGGCGACAATGGTTGGAACAAGGAAATGTGGCAACTTCAAGGGGTGCTGCTGGTGCAGCCAGAGTGACCTCAGCACACATGGATCGACATATCTGCCGACAAGCAGTGGCCGATCTGCAAAGCACTTCTACTTCCATTCTGCAGCATGTTCAAAACATCCCAGATGTTCCCATATCGACCAGAATCATTTGCCTTCAAGTGGTGGTAGTGGCCTGCACGCATGGCATTCATTAAGGCTGTCACACAATATATGCAATGGTGCCGGGCTCGAGCAATGAGGACAATGGAATGCCACAGAGTCATGTTATTAGATGAGTCACGCTTCTGTTTCTCCAATGATAGTCACTGCATACGAGTGTCGCATCGATGTGGAGACACGTCCAATCTGGCAGCATTTGTGAAACGCCCCATTGTGCAGCAAATTTGACCCCCATTTGGGGCACAATTGCACACAATTTCAGATCACCTCTAGTTCATATTCAGGGCACTATGACAGCGCAACGACACACGGATGATGCGTTGTGGCCAGTGAGACTCTCCTACCTTCAGGGAGTGCCCAATACCCTTTATCAACAGGATAATGCCTGACTGCACACTGCTTGCATCACCAGTGTGCTCTACAAGGTGTACAGATGCTTCCCTGGCCAGTGTTCTCTCCTGATCTCTCAACAATCAAACACATTTGAGATGTGATTGGATGTCATTTGCAGACCCTGCCACTGCCACTGCCAGAGAGTGAGACTATAAATGGTGTTCATCAGAACACCATTTATAGTCTCACTCACTCTGTACCTAGACGTGTTGCTTCAGGTATCACCATCCAAGGTGGTCATACAACCTACTGAGCCTTTGTATTATAAAAACCAATAAGACAATGTTTGTTTGTTTTATAGCTTGATTTACTATTGTATTGTATTTTTTGTTCCTATTTTTTATTTTTGTGTGTGTGTTATGTAATATAGTCACAGCTCCTACGTGTCATAAGACGAGCTTCGCTTGTCAGGCGGGCCGAACTGCGTTCTAAATAAATAAATAAATAAACCTACTGAGCCAAAGCTGGTGTTGCATTTTCAATGTTGGGTAGTGTATATATAATATGAAAGTATTCAGAACATTTTTTAATTATTTAACTGCTCACTAACTAACCAAGTAAATAAATATTAGAAACTACATATAAAACAGTTAATCAAATTAACTGCAAAAATGAAATAAAGCACAATAAAAATTAAATTTGCCAATAATTTAGCAGCACAGGCGTGACTCCAAAAATAAAGGATGATTATAAGATTGATTTAGCAAAGCTCTTTCTTAAGGGGATAGACATCACTGAATTAACCTTAAAGGACATTTTTCTGGCATGGTTACCAGATGAATTTAAATTAAAATTTGGAAACCATTGATATAAATAGTCAATTCATAAGTAATCAATAAGTGAAACTCGTCTGATCCTAGTAGTATCTCCAAAATGGCCTTTTTTAATACAAACAAAACAAATTGAAGAAAAAAATTTATTCTCAGTTATTGGCAGTTTTCCAATTTTCACAAAACTGCCATATTTCCTAAATCTTTTTTATTCAGTTTTTAAATCAAGTAATTAAAAATTCACAACAAAACAAATTATGATGATGAAAATACTGATAAAAATCAATAAAATACAGGAATTAATATATAGTCAAATGTTACAATATAGTAATGCTATGAAAAGGAAATGTCTAAAACTAAAATAACAGAAAAATAATAGAGAAGCAGGATTTTTTTTTAACAATCACACAATCCTGTGCTTCACATATTAAATCCTTCTTAAAAATGGTTAATCACATTAGTAAGCAAAAGCTAAATTATGCTAGATTTAGTTGAGGCAACTGCCAAGAACAGCAAATCAGAAAAATGAGAAGGATTTGGAAGGATTCGTAAATATTTCATAAAGCTTGTGAAAATGTTACGTAGAAACAGGGAAGTCTAAATTTTATGTATTAGATGGCAACTGAAGCTTAATATTTCCCATAAAGATTATTAATTGGAATACAATATGGAGGAAGTATAAATGTGTAGAGCAAGTAAGTTATCATTTGAAAATAAAAGGGAAAGATAATGTGAATATTTAGGAATTTCACAAGAAATTTTATTTACCTTATACATACATGCACATCTCACATATACGCACATATATCTTATAACCACTAAAGCATATTTTTATTTACATTTTTGACATGAAGCACAGCTAAAAAATATCAAAAAAAATGAAAGCAAATACACCAGAAATAACATTAAACCTGCTTAATGGTATTGTTACAAAACAGCACTCAAGTTTCACCATTAAAAGAAAATGTAAAGTTCATGCAAATAAAACCTTTGAAAACTTAAAAATCATAAGCATGTAAGTTACTTTTAAAGCAACAAACAGCAATTTCTTTGACCATGTTTGAAAGTAAATTATCATTCAATTTCAGATTACCTGGCATATGCTGTAGCAACAACTTCTCATGCAAAACTTGGTAATTTTCAATGGATCCTTTTAGCATTTCAACAAGAAGGTCATAGGCAGCAGAACGCACAGATGGAGATTTACATTTGGGCAAATGTCGTTGCTTTGGACTTGGGAGGGCAAAGAGTGCATCAAATAAATGAAGAACTAATTCCTAAACAAGAATAATCATGGTGTGAAAAATAAGTCACTGCAATTGCATTTCTCATCATTATGAAAAATATTAAAAAATTAATACAGTAAAAATTTACATACTTTTCCCTCTTTAGAACACTTGAATGATAAATTATGTTTCATTACAACCGTCATCAAATTGATCAAGCCTCTTAAACCATCGTCTTCAATAGTATTATGCCTTGTTTCCCTGTAATCTCTGGTAGTTACGGATTCTGCAAGGTACCTTGCAAGTTTCTCTAGGTCTAGAGCTGTTTTCTATAAATAATATTTAATGTCTTAATACAATTTCGTTAATATGTGCACTGATCTTCCATAAACTTGATCCACAAGATATAAAATTATGAAAAGATTAACAATTAGATGCCTGGTAAAAATGCTTAACAATAATTTTTGCAATAAATGAAAATATATAACCTATACTACAGATCAATTATCCTTTATCCTTTTGGTAATGTAATTGAAATCTGCTATAGAAGACTGCATTTTTTAAAAAAAATTACCAGTAAATGCTGACTTGAGTGAATTTTTGGCAATTTATATGAAAAATTTTTAATAAAATTAAAAGAAAAAATTTCAAGGTGAAAAAGTTGATGAAAGATAATGCCGTTTCCTTCATCACATAGGAATTTCTCTTGACTTTTTATTATACCAGAGGAGCCAAGATGGAGGAAGGAGGATGAGAACATGAAAAATGCATATATAAACAGCATATGACATTCCTGAGAGAAGAATTTTGTGAAGAAAAGAAAACATTTTGCCTCCCCCCCCCAAATCTTTGTTTCTGAATTAGAACATAAGTTTAAAACTTTGGAATTATTTTAAAGGAATATTCGTAAAGTATAAACGCTCAAAATTTATAGTTAGTTTACTTATATAGTACAGTCAAAAGTCGTTAATCCGGACTCGTCGGGACTTCGGCGATTCCGGATTCTCGATTTTTCCGGATTATAGATCATCAGTTTAAATCTCGTAAGATGGCATGCAGAAATTCTAAAATTAAAAATATGAAACCATAATTTATGAAATAAAGAACAATTATGATCTATAGGGTTTCAAAATTTGCAAAAAGAAAAAGCTTAATATTTATTTGTTTACTTTATTAAACATTTCTTTCAATGTAAGTTGTTTAAGTTTTGCTTCGTTCATGTGACAATACTTTCTCTTTAATTCTATTAAACAGATATAATTTCTTTTCAGTTACAAAGTTCCGCTGTTCAAGTCCTATAATTGCTGTGTCGAGAACACCGACTAATTTGTCAATCGAAATTTTTTTCGTTTTCAAATACCTCTGTCACTTTCTTCGCTATCGGAAGCGAATTATATGACGAGGAACTTGTTTTAAATCATATCAAAGACTGAGCATATCGAGATGAAATACTACATTTGTAAGGAATTAAACCAAATAAAATAAAAACATCTGCGCTAAAGATAAGGATAGTGCTGACAGATCAACTTCCAATTCATTAGCGCCCCGCCACGGCGTTCCCCCCCGCCGAGCAGCGTGAAATTGATAAACAGATTTCGGATTTCAAAACATACTTTCGCTTTAGATCCTTTACATATAACAAATATATATCGGAAATTCTATTTGATATAATCGAAAGTTTAAGCTTACTTTATAAAATTGCTCTTACAGTCTGCAAAAAATAATAAGCCGGATCCAATTCGAAAATTAAGGAACAACGCAATCATCAACATTAACTGAAATAGATAATTAATAATTTAGCTTATACGTCCATTATACATAAAAAGCGCACGCAAAAACGTATTCTGCACTTGCGCACACTCATATGGGCAGTCGTAAAAGGTCTTACGTGCACGCGTAAACGCCTATGCGCATGTGTAAACGCGGCGCATGCGCAGAAAGTTTTTAGTTTTGAGGTCCGGATTATAGATCATTCCGAATTATGGGTGTCCGAATTAACGACTTTTGACTGTATAAGTAAAAAGTTTTTAAAATATTAATGAGAAAAGGTACATGCTTACTTAAAAAAAACAGTACATGCAAATCAATTAAAAGTTATATCACCTTACGACAGCTATATATAAGCAAATACTTAAATATTAACTTTTAACACATTTCAGCAATTTTAGTACATAATTACTGATCAGCTTTCTACTCTCAATCTACTTTATCTTTAATGTATTCTGATAAACACATATTTCATGCATTTATTTTTCAAATGATATGATTATTGCAATGCTTCGAACTTCCAAATGATATATGCTCATTAACACAACATGAGCTTAAAACATGCTAAATTTTAATCTGCACACAGCCTTTACGTCAATAATCACTGCTGTCTAAATTTTGAATTACAGTACACTGCCACTCTAAGTATGATATTTTTAAAAATAAGAATAAGAATAAAAAATTAAATTTCTTTCCCCAAATCAGTTTTTTAAAATGTTAAATATTTAACTCATCATAATATATACTACATAAAAGACAATTTCTAATTACAATATTTTAAGTTTACAAAACAAATTAATGTATAAACAATATATGAAAAATTTCTACTAACTTGATCTTTATTATCTTGCAAAGCCTCCTCATCCAGACTATCGACAAGCCTACATACAAGCCAAAAATAATCTTTACAGCCAGGACCATACGGTTCTTTGTCTTCTTCCTATTTTAAATAATATAAAATGATGCAAAGACTGAGCAATAAAATATGTTTTTAGTTAAAACAGTACAAAAGCCATATAAACGATACACACACACACACACACACCACAAAAAAAAAAAAAAAAAAAAAAAAACTCCTGAATGGATTAATTTTAACTTATAAGCTTGAAAATCAGCAACATTTAAATTCATTTTTACCATCGGATTTTTTTTAAATGCAATATTATTTCTTAATTAAAAACTTTTAATCCCACCACGTAAGGCTTTGAAATCATTCCCAATATCAAGGCTTTTAGTAAATATGTATGTTTCATCTTGTAAACTACATCACCATATTTTGATCATATATGCTTTTGTGCCCTTCAAAGGCAATTAATTTCATAACTACAAAATATTGAGCATTCATAGGATAGTGCTGCCATTTAGAATCGTAAGTTTTCAGTGTTTCCTTTCGATTCTAAATGGCAGCACTATCCTATAAATGCTCAATATTTTGCAGTTATGAAATTAATATACCTTGTTCCAAGGTATCATGTTTGAAGGTTGATAAATTCTATTGGAGGAAAAGGAAAAAAATCCAAAATCTGCAAATATATGACGTACACATGCTGAATCTTATATATTTACTTCATTTCAGTCAGAAGTGATAATTAACAGAAGATTATTTATACAATTTTAAAACCGGTACATTGAGGGTACCATGCCAATAGATAGCAGCACCATTTCCTTTTCTATGACATGGAAGAATTTCTTTATATTATAACAGTTTATGATGTAATAATTTTTATGATTAATTTATGAGTTGTTTAGGATTCAATATTATATTCATGAAGGAATGGGAATTCAACTAACCCTGCCCTAGGACTGAATTCTCTTTTTATTCTACTCGAGTTTCATTTGTCTCCGTTTAGCTATAATTTTAATTTCAGCACTTCACCTTTTCCTAAGAGAAAGACTCATTTCAAAATTGCCGTTTGGGGTCAAAATTTTGCACAATTGTAGGTGTTAAATGTAGCATGTTAGCCCCCAAAAGACGCTAGTTGCTTCGTGCTTTCTAAAATCCTAGAATTCAACGATAATGAAAAGAGGTGATTGACAACTGATTTGTCATTTGGGAGTCATGCCTTCTTGCTTTTGTGTGGTTTGATAAGATCACACAAAGAGAAAGATTATTTAAAAATACAGGAGCACCTTAAGTGCATTTAAGGTCCATCTCTTAGTGTAATCACAAAAACTGCTGATTTGAAAGTATGCTTTTATTCTTATCATCTTTGTTAATTTCAGACGAAAAACTAGGACACGGCAAGATAAATTTGCCCTCCGAGTTTAGATAAAAATAGGTTGTTTTTGAAATAAATTTCACAGTTGGTGAAAGGAGGGAAAATATTTCTAAGGCCCCTTTTAGATGCAAACTAGAATTTATCCAAAAGTTGAAAAGAAGCCCCTAGGAAGCCAATGGGGTTGAAAATCAAAATAACAGCTTTGAGATGTATCAAATAATAAAATTGTTTAACGGCCTTTCTTCCTGATGTATTACAATCTATATTTACAGAAAATAAAAAAGGGGTCCTTATGGTGCTCGATGTGTGTGTGCGGTGGTGGTGGTGGGGATTATCTAAAGCATAAAATATAACTTCAAAAATGCAATATACTTTCTCATCTGAGAGTTTCATTTTATTTTTCGGCTGAGTTATATCTCCTTGTAATATTATACTAGTTCAGTTACAGCATGATACGATTTACACATGCAGCGTTATATTTGCTAAAAATTTTTAATAAAAAAATAATATTGAATTTAAATCAAGTTCAAAAGTTTTTTACCCATATTTTACATAAGTATGTTCAGCTGGGTTGCATCATCAAAGTGCATAAAAACAATTTTATTTTTAAAATTTTAAAAGTTTTTGTCTTCAGACTTACATAACTATATTCAAGCGCCCATCTCTACAGATTCACATCAAAAGTACGCAAAATTAATTAAAAAAAAATTAACAATTTTCAGCTACCTGGAAAGAAATGTCTTAGAGGGGCGCTAGTATTAAAATTTAAAATTTCGCTCTAGATTTTTTTTAAGTCTTAATTTTGTGTCCTTAGGGTCTATAAGTTATAGCTCATGCAAAATTTTACTACAATTTGAATTATTTCATACACCGCCCCTCAAAGGGTTAAACATTTCACAAGTACCCACCAACAGTAATTTGGACTTTCTAGTCCTTATTTTACAGTACATTACACTTTTGTATTCAGAATCATATCCTCTATTTTTGATAATCATCGAGTATTTTTGAAAATAACAAAAATTGTGATAATTTCAGTTTCAGAAATAATTTGCTAAACTACAAATTCTAAAGTCTTTAGTACTGATTCATGAAGCAGAAATCTAAACTGCGTAAATCCAGACCTTAAAACTGCAAAATGATTTAAGGGAACAGCAAGAAAAGCTGATGTGAATTTTTCTATTTTGAGAGGAAACTGGAATTATTTATGCGCACCGCTCTCAAACACTGAATGATTAGTTTCCATGAAATTTGAAGAATGGTTACAGAAAATGAGAAAGTAAAAGTATACAACATAGCAACTGTATATTTAAATTTGTTACACTTGTTACACAGTGCGTATGTAGTTGCATTTGTTGGATACACAGTTAAAATTCATTTCAAGAGAATAAAAGACAAGTTGTTAAAATCCTATTTAACATGAACTTCTATAAGTTCTGAGCTTCAGTATAATGCAAAACCATTTAAACTGCTTTCAAGTGTGTTGGAAAGTGGTTGGGCATAACTACATTTATTTACATTTAACTATATGTATTCGTTCATGAGTTAAAAAAAAAATCAACCTTTACCCAAAAAAAGCTTATATTTTATCTCATTCATGTGAAAGAGACTTTTTTGACTATGACATTTTTGAATATGTATTCAAAAAGTCATTACACTGCAATTTTGATTGACTGAGGAGTCATTACAGTGAGAGAAAAACTGCACTGGATTACTGGAGCATCTGCTGGACTTTTCATGGATTATTTCATTAAGAGTTGTAATAATGCAAGTTAAAGGTATATTTTAAATCAGGAGACATTTTTGAATAAGTATTCAAAAAGTCATTACATTGCAATTTTGATTGACTGATGAGACATTATAGTGAAAGACAAATTGCACTGGATTCCTGGAGAATCTGCTGGACTTTCTCATGGATAATTTCATTAAAAGTTGTAATAATTCAATTCACAGGTATATTTTAAATCAGAAGCCCCCTTGGGGGAGGAATCCTTTTAAATCAAGGTTAAATTTTCATACTTTTATGTTTTCAAGTAATTATTAAACTCAATTATATACAAAGCTTAAAAAAGAAAAATTAAAAGCTGAAAAAATTGAAAAGAAAGTGAACATGCACATGCTCCTAAAAAATTATATTAAATACAAAATTCATGTAAACATTAGAACACAGGAAAAATGTTAAGAAATATTTTTTTCAGATTATTTACACAAAACAGACAATTTGCTATTCACTTATATCTTATCACTTACGTATGTACTTACATCTGGGCGAGGAGGTTTCATATTTTGTGCTACAGATAAAAAACTGAGAAGACTATTCAGCAGAGGAACAACAAAATGATAACCCGTATTACCATCTGCATTTGAACCAAGACACAAACGGTAGAAACCTGTGCATGCTTCTCTTCTTAGAGCAGGCTGCATATGGAAAAACAAAATGCTCTCATATATTTAAAATGAAATGGCAGAACAAATGAAATTTGAATATTATCATATTGCAACATTTAAAATATACATAAAATAACACAAACCTCTGGATCATCAAGGACTAGTCTTTTTAATAAAGTATCTAATGATGGATACTGAAACAAGTGAACTTGAACTTGTGGCTCAGAAAATGCCCAAGACACTAAAAGAGTCATTGCACAAGAAACTACCTGAGCTCGGCCCCAAAAACCAGTCTTGTACTGATTTGGATCGCAAGGTGATGCAGCTTCACACAATAATGAGAGTATCGCTTTCAAGACAGATTCAGTGTCACTCATTACTTGCAACATTACCTGAAAATTTTAAATGTATATAAAAAGAAAATTGCTGAACTTAATATAAATTTAAAAATTATTTTTTGAACATAAACAAGACATATTGTTTCAATTATAAAAAACCTGAAAAATGCTTTTTTAACTAGTATGAAACTGAAAGGATAAAAGTGCATGTGTTTAATGAAAAAGACATAGCAATGTTGAATCCATAATGAACACAAACTTGGCAGTCAAGGTGGATTAAATATTCATCTGTACTTCAATTGATGCTCGCAGCCATAATTTACTTAGCAGTTTAATCGTGCCTATTCAAGAACACTTACATGTTTCATACTGTTGTGATAAGAAGAGAGCAAAGCAGCTCCTTAATTGCAAAAGAGCTAAAGGCAAAGCCATACACAGTTATCCAATATGGCAATCTACTAACAGAAGGTTCGGTTTAAGTTACTTTTATTAAAAGAAGGTTTCAATTCTCGAAATTTTACGTTCAATTTCTGAACTAGCTACGTCATCAGCATTATGCAACGCAGAACAAGGCATTACTATTTTTAGAATCAGGGAAATTAATAAGCTATTGCCAGCTTAAATTATAATTTTGATTTACATATTTTTTATCTCACTAATCACACACATATATGTATATCTATCTATTTATATACAAGGTGTGACACACACACCAAAAAAAGAGAGACTGTGTAGCTTGAAGACAGCGTGGAGTTGGTAACAACTGTTTTAGTGATGTCATGCCACAAACGTCCTCTATCCATGCGGCCAGTTTTGACTTAACTGACCACACCAGTGGAGAGTACTGCATCATTAAGAGAGCATGTGCAACTGCATTCTGACGGAAATATGTCTAATGCAAAAAACGAACAGCGAATCAGCCACGGAGGAAACATTTCAAATGTTAACCAAGGCTTATGGAGAAGAAACTTTGTCTCATGCACCTGTGCTTGAATGGCATAAGCAGTTTTCGAGGGGAAGGGGCAGTTTGAAAGATGATGAACATGCTGGGTGCACAGCACGTTCATCATGACTGAATGGGTTCCCAGTGGTTTGACTGCAAATCAACGCTACTACATTAAAGTACTAAAAAGACTTTGTGAAAAAAATTAGGAAAAAAAAAAAAAAAAAAAAAAAAGGCCACAGTGTTGTGGAATGATGGATGGCCGTTGCACCAAGACAATGCACCTGCTCACACAGCCCTATCTGTCAATCAGTTTCTGACCAGCAAAAACATTACTGTGTTCGGGCATCCTCCTTATTCACCTGATTTGGCTCCATAACACTTCTTTTATTTTCTTTTTCATTTATTTCCATGCGACTTCTTTTATTTATCAATTTATTTTATTAAGTTAAATCTTACTTAAAGGGAACCCATTTTACCTCAGCTGAAGAGGTTCAGGCAAAAATGGAGAATCTCCTGAAGGGCCTTCTAAAAACCTTGTTCCAAAACTGTTATCAGCTATGACAGCATCGAATACAGAAGCGTGTGAATGCTGAAGGGAACTGCTTTGAAGGTGATAATATCATGGAGAACTTTCTGTAATTACAAGGATTTATTGGACCAGTCTCGTTTTTTTGTGTCACACCTTGTATATCATCTGTGAGAAATCTCTCATAACGATCCCTCTGAAAATGACTTGTATTTCTTAGACATTAGCATTGAACATTTTCTTTCTAAGGTGCAACCATATCTAAGAAGACCATTACCATGAAAAGCCATGAATGGTCATCTGAAGGACATTTAACTTTCTCTTTCTCTCTCTCTCTCTCTCTCGCACACACACATACATATAGTAAAAAATTTAGAACTAATTTTTCACTAAGACCAAAAATTGAAACTCATAGTTAATAAATTTCAAACAATCCTATAAATTTAATAAAGATTTTAAAAAATGTTAAAACCAAAACTTTTCAAACAGGCAATACCCCAATTTAAAAAAAAATATAAAACTTAAAGAAAAATGAACATAATAGAAGAGGAATTCAATCAACTTCAATGCCACTTTGTCAGCAGGAGGAACACTGAAATCAACTGAAATCTCTCTTTCGCAAAAATCCTTGCTTTTCTGCAGCCAGAATTAGCTAATGAACCATTTCAATGTATTTTAATTATAATAGTTCACCCGAAAATTCTGGACACTCCCCAAAGCAAGGAAAAAAGCTTTTCAGCAGCTTAATTCGCGAAAATACTAAACATGTTTACATTTTGTTTTTTAAAAAATTGTTACATATAATATATATATATATATATATAGAGAGAGAGAGAGAGAGAGAGAGATGCTCCTCACCTGTTTTTAACCCAAATTCTGAGAAATTGGCTAACTAAAATCAGCTGTGCATTACTGCTACATACTGCACCATCACCTATTCATGGCGTCAGGAAAGGAAACCTTTTTAGATTATTTTCTTATGAAAGATACGTCAGGAATCGGTACTACTGGCTGATCTAACAGGCCGACTAGAAAGAAAATGTTCAATGCTAATGTCTAAGAAATACAAGTCATTTTCAGAGGGATCGTTATGAGAGATTTCCAGCTCTCCTGCAGCTTCATCATCACCAAATATCCCCTTTATTTATCAATCAGTCTTCGAAGATGAGTCAGATGTTAATTTACGTCAACCCATGTAAAAATCTACTACCCTCATCCTTACCCCATCCACACATGCCTCAAAGACATCAATTCAAGGTACAAACTGTACAGTAATTCTTTATTTCTTTACAATTTTTTAATGTATTGCATTTAAAATTTAAAACGCATTTTTTGTTTGTTTAGTATAATTTTTATGTTTTTATTTCCTGATCACATTTACAGCTCTTATCTCATGAACATCATTAGAAGATATATGATTGTTCAGAATGTAATGTACGGTGGGAAATGTCTGAGTATAAATATATATTTATGTAAAATGCAAAAATAAAATAAAAAATGCTTTTAAATTTCATCCCATATTCAATATGGGAAAAACAAAAAACAAAAGCACAGTGGCAAATTGCAAAAAAAAAGGGGGGAGAGCCAAAATATGCCAAAACCAATAATGAAAATGAAATTTACATCTTTCGCTGCATAGTCATCAGGAAAGTAAAGCCCCCCCCCCCCGAAACACTGCAATGAAACATGAAAATTTTATATTTATTTTTGGCTTATTTTGCTTCTCTATTTCTTGCAGTTTGCTTAAGTGCTTTTATTTTTGTTGTTGTTGTTTCTGCATCAGGTTTATTTCAAACTGAATATGGGATGAATTTTAAACAATTTTTTTAAATTTTATTTCATTTTGCATTTTATTTGCTTTATTATATATTTAAGAAAAATAATTTAGTGTACTGTAATTTTAGAGAAAGCTAATAACTCCACACAAAAATAACAGGGGCAGAAAAACTAAAAACTTTTCATGCACAAAATTTAAAAATTAAGTCTAAATCATTATTGATATACCTTATTTAGTTTTGGTATAAGAAGTTTATCACTGCTACTTTTTCGTATTCTCTTAGCCCTTTTTCTTGGTAAATCAGAATCTCCACCTACACAGTCATCATCATTACCTTCAATGCCAAACTGATAAATAAGGCGTAACAAACATGCTATGCAGTCTTGATTCCACTGTTGAAAAAAGACAAGCCAAAGTTAAGCAAAGAAAGAATAAGAATAAAAAATGTTTAAAAGGTTTTCTAATTCTTGTATTAGCATATTAATAACAAACATTACTTTTCCCCAGAAAAAATAAATACAAATATCACAAAAAGCAAGGGGGTATGGGTAAAAAGTATAATAGATACATTTATAATCTAACTGTATATATTACTGTAACATATCAGGTGAAGGTCAGATTAGAAAATGAATCAAACAGGAACATTCACAAGAAACATAATCTTAATAATTCCATATGCATGCATAAAATTTTTTATTGAAAACTATTAATAAAAGTAGCAGCAAATATGAAACAGTAATTACATAATGATTTGATAAAACAGTCCTCAAAATAATCAGTATATGAAATGTTACATTAAAATTATTACTAATGGTGGAAATTTGGATTAAAAACAAAAAAATATATAAGACACACCTCATTTTGTTTTGCTTATTTTTAAAGCTGGAAAAATATAATTCCAATTAATAAAAATTCCTACCCTGTGATAAAAAAATATATTTTAGATATCATTGCCATCCAAGTACATATATCATTTCCTGGTTAAAGGGAATCTTAATACTGCTACATTACAAATAAATATACTAAAACAACTGGAACATAATCAGATTGTTAGGCAAAAAAAGAATAAGATTGGGTCCTTAGGATGATCATGCTTAAAAGAACAAAAAAGTAAAAGACTATTTACTTTTTAGAAGGGTCATACTCAAAACAACTACATAATTTAAAATTATGACTTTTGGAACTTATGAATTATTCCATCAACCACAAAACTGTTGCCAATAAGCAAGATTTAGAACTCATTACGGATAAGTGCAATGCAACAACACACTCATTTGATGTAAACCTGACTGATTCTTGATAGGCCTCATCTTGTTTTTATGGGGAAGGATATAAATTTACTATTATTTTTTCTTGAACTGCCCCCCCCAAAAAAAAAATCAATTTCAAGACCTGCTTTCTACGAACAGCAAGCAGTGTATTATTTTCAAAGTTAATGAATCCAACCATCAAGAAAGTATGTATTAACAGACATCACATGGTCAGCTAAATATGGCTGACAAAATACACTGGTTATCATAAATAAAGGGAAAATCACAAAAATCACGATTACTGAAAAAGTTACATGTAGAATTTTATGAAACTTACCCACAATATACAACACATAGTAAGGTATCAAATAACATAAAAATAAATTACCACACAATTATGGTAGTATAGAATTAAACATGTAAAATGAACAAATCGAGGTTCGTTTGCTACAGGAAAGTACCTTCAAAGGGAAGATGGTCCTCTAGAAGCATACAGCACATACAGTGATGCACCCCGCTTTCAATTATGCGGTCTATCAGTTCCATAGGAAGCGAGAGCCATTGCTCTTGCAAAGCTGTTGCAAGCGTGGCAACAGTCTGACGGGGTGGACTGAGATCAGCTAGACGTCTCTCTAAATCATCCCAAACGTGCTAGAGAGGATTCAAGTCTAGGGATCGAACTGGCCGCTCCATGCGCATAATTGTTTCCTGTTGAAGATAATCATCTACGATGCGAGCCATGTGTGGTCTTGAGCTGTCGTCCTATAACACTATTGTCTGGGTGCACATAAGCATCAAGCATTTCATCTCTATAAACTGGAGCATTCCCGATTTCCGTTGGAAAGACATGGAGGTCTGTGCGTCCACCCAAAGAGATGCCACCCCCAACAGACCCGCCTTCTATGATCTCTTTAACGGATGTTTGACGGATGATAGCGGGTTCCAGGTTCCATCCATATCAAATAATGCCTACTATTGCTTTCTAGACTAAACCTGGAATCATCTGTAAAGAGAGCAGCCCTCCACTGATCAAGCGTCCAGTACATTTGTGCCTACTGCAAGGGTGCCTCTATGGCGTGACGTGAAAGGGCACGGCTGGGTCGTGCATACAGACCATCTCGTGAAACCTTCTACGCACAGTTGGTTGACACCAACCTTCGGTGGCTGCAGCAAGGGAGATCTAAGAAGTCAGAGTACGGTTCTATCCTGCGTGCACATATGTCAAATATCGGTCATCAAGGTCGTAGCATTGGCCCCTGGCTGAACCTCCTAGAGGCCGAATGGGTTTTGAATCTCAAGTCTATGAACAACAGAAACTCACATTTAGCCATCCGGCCACTCTGTTGACTTTATCCTGCCTCTAGTCCCCAGGCCCATAGTTCTGCAGGCAAATATGCCGGGAGGCATTGTTACGAATTGCCTATCTCAGATTTCTGATGTCACTATCACAGTGACATATGTAGGCTTGCTCTCAAACATAAACTTTTATTCTCCTCGCAGATAACGTATTCCGAATGCAGCGTCACTAATTTGCATATTGCAGTTTTACTCAGCTACTCTTACCTGGCAACATATTCAAATTTTACATGGTTTGGCTTATATTTTAGGGATTTATCGCCATTTTTGTGATTTTTCCTTAATTTATGATAACCAGTGTAGTAATAGATTGAAATAATTAAGTGTGGAAATTGTTATGTTTTAATCAGAAATTCTGCTAAAATCGGAGAGCCTAACAAAATAGTAGAAATAGATGAAAGTTTTTTTTAAGAAGCACAAAAACTAAATACAATCAAAAGTCGTTAATCCGGTCGGGACTCGGCGATTCCGGATTATCGATTTTTCCGGATTATGATCATCAGTTTAAATCTGGTAAATGGCATGCAAAATTATAAAATTAAAAAGAAACCGTAATTTATGAAATAAGGAACAATTATGACTAAAGGTTATTAAAAAAAGCTTATTTATTGTTTACTTTTTAAACATTTTTTCAATTAAGTTTTAAGTTTTTCGTTTTGTATACTTTCTCTTTCAATTCTATAAACAGCACAATTTTTTGTTAGTTACAAAGTTCTGCTGTTCAAGTCCCTTAATTGCTGTGCCGAGAATACCGACCTAACTTGTCCATCGAATTTTTCGTTCTCATAACCTCTCTGTACTTCTTCATGTCTTATCCATTTTGCAGCAATCACTTTTTTTTGATGGACATCGAAACATTACTTCGTTTTGTACGATCCTTTGGGAGCTCCAGATTCGGAAATTCTATTTACATAACGAAAGTTCAAGTTTACTTTTATAAAATTGCTCTTACAGTCTGCAAAAAATAATAAGCCGGATCCATTCGAAAATTAAGACAACGCAAATCATCAACATTAACTGAAATAGATATTAGATAATTTTAGCTTAACCGTTCGTTTATACATAAAAACGCGCACATGAAAACGTATTCTGCACTTGCGCACACGCAATGCGCCGAAGGTCTTACGCGCACGCAGAAAAGAAAAGATGTCAACGCGGCGCATGCGCAGAAAGTTTTTAGCTTTGAGGTCCGGATTATAGATCATTCCGGATTACAGGTGTTCGAATTAACGACTTTTGACTGTAGATGAAAGTTTTTTAAGAAGCACAAAAACTAAGTGAAGTTAATACGGATTGTTTACTTAATAAATATGCATCAGTTGCTTCAAAATTTTGCAGGAATGATTGGTACACCTTTGTAAGTCCTCTGGCAACTTGCATGCTTTGACAGAAGAAAATTTTCACTATTGTTGAAATAATACATAAGTACCAAAATTTCCATTTGTGTATATTAATTTTCTGTTGCATTATAATTTAATTTAATCAAGAGTTACATATGTGTTTCTAATGATTAAAAAAGGTTCTTTTCCATTAAAGCCATACCATTTGAAGAAATCCCCCACATTTGGACACATTTTCTTGGTAACAAGTAATATCAGTCTGATTTGGGTTCTTTCCTGGCAATAACTGCATTTATAACCAATTCTCACACACATTTTTCATCTAATCATAGCTTCTTCTTTTCTTTCACTGCGATTAATTTCACAGTGAAATTACAGTGTAAATTTTCACAGTGTATTTCGGATTTAGAATATTTCACAGTAAATCATTCTTATCCTTTCATTAATGCAGACACTAGGTATCACACTCAATCTGCCAAACACTGGAAGTAATGTAAAATGGCACAAGAAGAAGCATTGCCTGCCAACATCTAGACTTAGATTTAAGTGAATTTATATGAAGTCACATGCATTCCAAAGAAGAAATGTGCTCTGTTATGGGGGGTAAATGTGACTTTCAATTTTATGCTTGCTGCTAATGCCATTTTCAATTTTATACTAGCTGTTTTGTCTTACAAGTTTCATTTTTCAATGCAATATTTATTAATTTATTACTTTTTATTTCAATTTTATTTCACTTAATTCTTTAAGAAGCAATACACACAACTATTTTTTTTTTCCTGTATTTGCTTTTATTTTATGCCTTTCTTTTTCTTTCTTTCTTTCTTTTTTTTTTTTTCTGTTTCTCCTCTTTTCTGGGAAAAGGATTTCTAGAATGCAATGAACTTAAATCAACGAAGAAAAATTACCAACAGATATTTAGCCAAAAAAAGAAAGAAGAAAACCTGAAATAATAATAACAAGCTTGGAAAGGGCGTCTAGTATCTAGTCAAGGTATATATAATATATAAAAGAAATATGCCACAGTGGCACCAAAAATGCATGAAACGGTTAACAGGAAAGTACCAATTAAAGGTTATATGCATTTATTATGTAAGATAACTAAACATATTTTTAACTATACATCTCTATTTAAACACACACATAAGTTATATAGTCTGTATAAATGCTGCGAGTGATCTCATTGAACAAATGAATAGCATATTTATTAGTGCAAATGAAACTTTAATTTATGCATGCAAATTTTCACTAAAATTAATAGTTTAATTAGAGTAATTTTAATGACTTTGCTGAAAAGACAACACTGATAACCCCAGATTTTAATTTATGCAGGAAGATTTCCAAGTATATTTTCTCAATGAAGAATGGAACAATTTATAAATGCAAGATAAAAAGTAATAAAAATAACAAAAGTAATGAAAGCAACAATAATATAATTAAGTTATACAACAAAAGACTTTTAATTACCAGAACTGATATCTTAAAAGAGTTAACTCTGAACTCTATCATTAAAATATAAGCTGCAAATAACACAGATTTGAAACTGGTAAATAATTGTAAAAAAAAACTTCAGAAGCAGTTTTGGAATACAGAAATGCTATATTAACCTTGATGTTAAATTGATAAAGTGCAACCATTTTACAATGTCATCTATTAAACTTTTAGGTTATAATTTAAATTCAAACTGATGCCTGTCAGATCATTTTCAGTCTACTTTTCTTAATATAAAGGTTCTTATACAAAATACAATAAAAAATAATTAAACTTATAATATTAATTATAAATTATTATAATTTAATAAATATATATTAATTATATTATATTATTATAATTAAAAATTTTTTAAATTAAATAACTTATCAAGATTCTGGAAAGCTTTGTCTTGGATTATGTAGCTCAAGAAAGCAACTGATGCATCACGAATACACCAGTTTAAAATAATTTCTCTACAGATATAATCAACAACTTCTGAAGTTTTAACATTTCATCATTTTTTTAAACTCAAAACTATGATCATATATTCAAAATCTAACTTCTGCCAGTAAGCAACTGATATGATATTCATTTACTGATGCTTTATCAAAAATCAATTAAAAAAAATTAAATAAATAAAACAAAAATTTTGGAAATTGAGTGACATTTACTGTAATGGTTCACTATTCAATTTCAGAAATAAACAATAATTTTATTTTCTCCAGTTCTTTATTATCTGTTAATTTTACAAACAATAATGCAGGTCAGCTAAAAGAAGCAGATAAACAAATACAAAAGTTTTAATCAGTAAAAAATTACAAATTTTAAGCATCTTATTGATACAGGTAAAAGGATATTAGTAGGGATTTTTTTTACGATTTTGCACTGTTATCTTTTGATATAACATACTGAACTTCAGTAACATTCAAGCTGTTTATTAAGTTCAAATTATCATTTAGTACAAAAAACTCAAGTATAAAAATTTATTTTTAAAATAAAATTTAAAATATTTACTAACAATATTTTATATAATTACAAACAGATTTGGTTTTTTCTATATTAAACTGATTAAACACTTTTTTGCTTTGTAAATACCTGCACTGTAAAAATTTAATAACTCCGATAAAATTTTCTTTTGAAATTGACATGCATAATACACCGTAAAATTACATAAATGGATGATAAAAAATGCAATAAAACAAAGACACTCTGATAAAAATTCAAAACTATAACTTTAACAACTTCAGTTTTATATTTAAAGCACATACTTCATTCCACTCAGCACCTTCTCGAGACTGTAAAACTCCAGACATAAAAATGTCGAATAAATGATTCAGGCCACCACATTCAATGAACTGTAAGGAAATTAAGCAAACATGAAAAAAAAATCTGAAATATAGGTCACATAAAATGGTGTTAAAAAATTAAAAGAATTTTCAAATTAAATCTATTTTTATGAAAAGTACTGAACCAAAGATGATAATTATGCTGTCAAAGATTTATAGAATTATACAAAATCAAATACACGTGCATTCTTCAGAGGGGATATAAGTGCATGAGGAATTTTTTGAGAATTTGTCTCTCTTATTTCTTCATGACATTCGCCATGTTTCTTGCAAAAATTAGGTAAATTTTATTTGGTATCATGTAAAATGAGTAGCGATGAATGTATGAATGATGGAATGAGATGGAAAATTGTTAGCAGATTGGAGGCAGGTCAATCATAACTGAAGGTGGCTACAGAGCTCAATGTTACGTCCAGTATAGTCTGCAATTTGTGGCAACAGTTTCAATATACTAAATTCCTGTTGAGAAAACCTGGACAAGGTTGGCCAAGATCCATGGCAACAGTTTCAAGATACTGGATTCATATCAAGAAGACATGGACAAAATTATCCAAGATCCAAAATAGCAAATGAGGATTGATATTTGACACTTTCCGTGTGGTGACACAGGACGCTACAACTTCACAACTCGCATGTGAGCAGAATGCTGCCAATGGAGCCCAAGTTTCACAGTCTACACTTGCCCGAAGGCTTCTTCAGATAAGGCTCTGTATGCCAGAAGATCCACTGCTTACAGCCCACAAGACAGCACATTTAGCATGGTGTAGACATAATACCCACCTTGCACCAAACTTTTTTACACTGCGCTTTTTTACAGAGTCGAGACTTAGTCTGGATATGATTCTCGGCATATTTGTATTTGGAGAGAGAACTTGGAATATGATACCGCTCTCCCCCCTCATTAGGGAAAAGGATACAATAGTGGATGTGCAATGGTTTGGGCAGGCATTATGTTGAACAGCAGAACACCTCAGCACGTCTTTGACAAACACTTCTGACTACAATGAGGTATTGAGAGGAGAACAAACAGCTTTATGTTCAATTTTTTAGGGGTGCAGTTGGTACTGGGTTCCTGTTAATGGGCTTGTCCACACAGGACTCAGCAGGACACACAGGAATAGATCTCCTAACCCTACAAAGCATGCCTAGGATGCTCTTGGGGCTGCAATTTCATCTCACCATTCTCCTCCAAGAAGAATCGAGTTAAAAACTGCCTTGTTACAGGAGGGGGATTACTGCCTGAGAGCCTCTTCAACTGTTTCCTGTAAAGTATGTTGTTATGCTGAGTGACCTATATGGCTGTAAAGTGGTATCATATCCCATTTCAGACACATTTTCAATTTGATATCACAATGTGGATTTTGGACATTCTTTCACTATGAACTTATTAATCATGCATACATAAAATGGCATTTTAATGGTTCATCTCTTTTTCTGTTATACATTGTAGGATTCCCCACTGTGTACTTCTAAGTTCCAGATGAATGTGAAGAATTTTAAGAACTAGTAAGCAAATAATCGCTTGAGTTCGTGAGGTAGAAAACAAAAAGTGAGAAGGGTGAAATAACCCTTTATTATTCCATCTTCAAGTTGTACAATAAAGCCGACACTCGGGCTTCAACTTAGGAAACTAAGCATTAAACTTAACTAATCTTAACTAAAGAGATATAGCCAAAGGTTTCAAAATTCTAACAGAGTTAGCCCCTTAATGCTAATTAACTGCGAAGCTATCAAGGGCCTAAAGTACAGCCGAACATAATAATAGCTTACAAGAGAGTACTCTAAAAAAGCGGTAGCGTGCTAGCCAGAATATCTGGTATCTCTTTCACTAAGACAGTAGAACTTTGCGGTTAAATAGCGCTCTTCCTCCTTAGCATTCAGATGTGATTCTAAAACTACGTTCTCGCCAAAAGTGGTAAGTTGAAATTAAGAAGTGATAAGAAAGGAAGTTTAAATCAAAATTTAACTGTTAATAAAATTAACATAATCCTTACAACATGTATATTCATACCACATTTCATTAAAATATGTCCATTAGTTTTTCAGAAATTCAAAATAATGTACAAATTCTCCAAGTTTTGCACACAAGCATATATTATATGATGAAAACTTTCTGTCTGATATAGATGAGAGAGTTAGATAGTTACAAGGAAGTGCAGTCAGGACTAACAGATACAGCTTTTTATTTTTGGACTAGCATTACTGAAGAAATTATTATGACCCAAATTTGTTTTATATAATTTTCATGAATAAGTGGCCGAATGACAAGCATATTTACATAACTGTTAGAAATAAGTTAATTAACATAAGTAATTTCCCTGTAATTAATAATTATGCATTAAATTTTAACTGAAATAACAGAAGACATGTTATGTAATAAAATTGAATACAATTTAAAGGAATAATTTCTTAATTAAGAATGACACTAAAAGGTATGAAATTCATATAAATATATATATTACAAACACATACATACTCTTTACATAAAATAATAATTATTGAAGAGAAACAAATACCAAAACACTGTAACAATAAATTAAATTTTACTGTTAAAATATATTTAAATGTGAAATTCAATTCCAAATATGAATATACTCCATTTAAGAAAGTAAAATAAGTATACTGCTTCACAATGCATTTAACATATTTGCATAAAAGAAAAATTAATTGTGTACTTTGTGTCGCTTAAAAACTAGATGCATAACATATCAAAAACGAAAAAAAATCTTACTTTTGCAGACCAGGCTGTATTATCCTTTTCAGAGTTTGGATCTTTATCAGAATTTTCAGATATAAATTCAAGTGACTCAGAAACCTTCAAAAAAAAAATTAACATTTAATGTATCAAATAAAATTTTATTGTATAAAAAAGAGACTCAAAGGTTCATTAGAAAAATTACAAGCAAAAATATTTTTGAAATGCATAAAAATATCTGGAGTTTCTTCGAAATCAATCTTTTTGACTATTCAATATTTAATTCCTATAAAAAAGGGTATTTAATTTTTTTTAAATTTATAATCATCTAATATTTTAATTATGATAAGAATATTCTGCACTAAAGATAAAGAAAATGAATACAAATAACACTTAAAGCTTTCTTCAGTTTTATACATTATTCTTGAACATAAGAAGCCTTGTGAAGAACAAATTATGATGAGAAAAATGTATAAACATTCAACAAAGAAGTTGAAAATTATTATCATTTATCTGTTAATAAAAAATTTAGTGACATAAAAAATTGATATTTATTGCAAAAATAATTGCCTTTTTAAGATGCAAAGAACTCATAAATAATGAGAAAAATATAGTTATTTTAATTAATATTACATAAAATGCACTGAATAATGAATAAAAACGGAAATATAACACATCTTAACATTTCCAGAAATGAATGCATATTTACAATAATAATATATGGTTAGAAATGAAATACTTTTAAATAGTTTTTAAAAGGAAATAACTTTTCTTAACAAAGATGAGAAGTGATACTTAATTCTATTTTTGAGAAATTGATGGTTATTCTTCATTTGGTCATTGGAAATGATTTGTATAGTAGAAGTGATTACAAATACATACATTCCTAAGCAGTCTGATAACTTTTCAGCACAAACATAATGCTTTGTACAGTTCAGTTTATAAATGGGTGGCACTTTAATTCTTCTTTAAATATAATTAATGCCAATAAGAATGCAAGGCAAAAATTAGTAATCTCTATGAAACTTCATAAATACAATTTTCATTATTTGGACTGCATTTTTCGAAAAATATGTTTAGATTCAATATTTGGGCTCTAATCTATAACAAAATTTAATGAAGGAAGCATAAAATTTAGTGTTACAATGTTAATATTTTTATAAACTAACTTATGATGAGTTTACTATGAGAAAGTACTCAGGTTAATAGAGCTGGGATCAAAGTTACTATAATTTCATGTTTCCATGAAACTGACTCATATTTGCCTCATACATAGAGAAAAGCCGCATTTACAAAGGCTTCTCAAATAGCTTTTCCAAATATGAAGGCTCTTACTCCCAAGTTCCCATTTAACATGACAAGAAAAGTAACTCATTGAGTCAAGATAAATATAAGCCAGCCATTTATTTTAAAAGATAGGCCAGTACAATGTACTGCAGTATTTCATTTTTGACCACAGAAACAAGATCTTACTACACAAAGACAAGTGTTTTTTCACACAATTCTTGTATTTGGAATGATACTACCATTTATGATTAACGAATTAAAAAAATCTATAAAGAAATTACAGGATCCCTTAAATTTCCTAAAAGATACCATATTAAGGGAGGAAAATATGATTTGCATTTTAAATTCTAATTTAAAATGCAAATTAATTTAAAATTTCTAATCTAATTTAATTTAAAATTTCTAATTTAAAATCTAATTTAAATTAGATTTTAAATTTTTTAATTAAGAAATTATTTCTAATTAAAAATCTAATTTAAAATTTCTAATCTAATTTAATTTAAATTTCTAATCTATTTAAAATAAAATGCAATTCTAATTTAAAATCCAAATTTTAAATTCTAATTTAAAATGGTTGAGAAATATAACTAGAAACTTATGGTTTGCACCATTTGCATTCAAAAAGACGTGAGACCTTAATCATAATATTTTAGGAAAGTATTTATATCAAAATGAAATTTTACCTTATTAAAAAATGTCAAAACTAAATGACAATTAACTGAAACAGGATTCCTGCCCTTAAAAGAGAAGATGGAATTGATGATTTTATGAGAATTCGCATACCGACAAACACACAGCTTAAGTTATACAAATAAAAAATTTTCATAGCAAAAAAAAAAGTTACCTTGTTTTGTTTCAAAGACTCGACTATCTGTAGGGAATACATTAACTTCTGTGGACTTTTTGGATTTATTAATGATTGTAGTGCATTATTTGAGCAATCGCCAGAATCTGAACTCTGCAGAAAAGATAACATAAAAGTATAAAATTATATAATACAAAGCAAATTTTAATGCATCATGTTAAAACAACTTAACATCTGTAACTGCTCACAAAACAGTCATACAGCATTGGTACTTATGTATTATCGCAACCAGGTTGGCGCGATTTGTAAGTTTGAGTAAAAAAGTATGAATAGAAAGAAGATGTACATTTATTAATTACAGATAATTTTTAATACACTTCTTTATATTATTTTGTTTCAAAATATAAAATAGCAATTAAACTCTTCCGGTTTCGAATTTGAATAAGTTGCAAAATTATTTTTTGGGCGGAAATCTTTTGGCTATTGCTTTTAGCACTGATTGAAAACCGTCTTTGCCATTAACAGCTTGAGCTTGGTGCCATATAAATTTGATAAGGTATGAGTCAAGATGATGACGGGCTGTTCCTCTCTGTTTTTTGTTGCGCCATTTGGCTGAGCCCCACATGCGCTCTACATGTTGTGTGTGAACGCCCGTGTTAGGATCCACAAAGTTATATTTGTGATTAACAGTGCCATGTAGAAATCCAGCATTTTCGAACTCACTTGTATTGTATCCTTTCCAGCAATCCGAATAAATGATGCTTCCTTCCTTAATATTTTCGCAAATTTTTTCCATGAGGGTAACGGCGCTTCTGTTAGGTACAGTAACCAAAAAAGTCTCTTTCTTTTCTCAGCAAATTCCGCCGAAAACCCATTGCTGTGGTAGTATATGCCCAGTGTTATTTTTTCATTTTACAAAACTACATATAACACGTAGGGTTGCCGTAAGTAGTGTCGCCAAATTTGGCGATTTATGCGAATTTTGGCCTGGTTGCATTAATACGTAAGTACCACAGCATTTTTGCATAAGGATTCCAACAAATTATAACATTTTGAAAAACAAAATTACTTTGGTTATGTCTTTGAAACCCTGTAACATAGTTGGCGATGTAGGCAACATCATTAATATTTCCCACACTCTCCTTGATAATATTTGTGCTTTTGTGTGTGGAAGAGTATTCTGCAATAAAATAAATTCATATATCAAACTGCTGTAGAGATATAATAAAACATCTCACCATGCATGAAAAGTACTCAAGGGAGGGGGAATGGAATATTAAAAAAGAGCAAATGAGCATCACATTAAACCTTGCAAGTATTGAATATCAGTAAATATAAAACATGAAAGAAAAAATTTTTCACAGCAAGATAGATATATAACCTCAACTAGTATTCAGACACTTCCTCAAAACTATTTAAACACACTACATGATTTATAAATTTAAATAAAAAAACTTTCAGTTTTATAAAGTTGTTAGTTCATTCATTTGTTGGTTCACAAAGTAGATATTTTATAAAAAATATGCCACAATTAAAAAAAATATTTAATTGAAAGAGTTGTATAAAAGAATTGTTGGTAATACATATAACTTACTATTTCTAATTTGACTCAAATTTTTTAATTTTGATGAATTGTTATAAATTAACCAAAAACAACTCTAGACATCACAAGTAATGATTTTTCCTGAATGAAACCAATTTAGTACAAATTTAATGAAAATATGTACATAAAATGCAAAATCAGTCCATTTAGTAGTTATCACTCACAAGAGCATGTTTTAGCAGAAGTAATAAAGGTTTTTCTATATCAAATTATGCCGCACAACTAAATACAAATTCTGATGCTGCATATGTAAAAAATGCAACATATATTAACCTAGAATAATAATTAATAAGACAAGAAGTGACTGTTAAAAAACAAAATGTCAAAGTGATATCTTTATTATTATTTATTAAGTATTATTTGATTCTCTTTATACATTAAAATATATACATATTTGTGTGCAATGATTTGATCATATTGAAAAACCAAATTGTTGTAGATGTTAATTCACAATGAAGAGCAAAAATTTTGATTGCGTATATATTTCACATACATATTGGACTTCATAGATATTAATCCATAATGAAAAGCAAATATGGCAGCTGAGACAAATTAAATATTCATCTTTATTTTAAAAAGCATGTTGTGGCCACAAACAACTTGGCATGCTACTCATGCCTATTTCAAAATGTTTACATTTTTAATAGCTTTGCAGCAAGAAGAGATAGCAGCAAGAACTGGTCCAGCAAGGCTGGAGTGTAGAAAGCAAATAAGTTTTGTTCAGGATGAAATCTTGATTCAGAATGAGTTAATTTTTGGTACTTGATGCATTTGACTAAATAATTGATACTGCTGTAAAATTACTATCAGCTGTTTGGGTTTTAGTTCCATTTACATTGGTATTATGTAAGAGTCATATGACGTGGATTAGTTTCAAAATGACAGTCCAAAAAAAATTACTACTTTTAGAAAAACAGAGCTGATTAATTAAAACTAAGCATCAAGGGGCTATTGCTAATTTAAATTATGATTTATCTTTCACATATTTTTTTATATTTCTTACATTACACTTATATATTCTGGGTAACAAATACAATTGTGTCCAGATCCATATAATCATTGCTGAAAATCATCCTGGAAAATCAGAAACAAAAGAATGATTCATATTGAAAAGAGGCAATGGATGATAATGAATATTACTTACTCCTGTCTCAGATATAGATCTAAAAGAGCCTAAATGTTGCATTAGACCAAAAAGTTGTTCAAAATATGTTGTTTTTAACAATAACACAAGAGGCAGTCTTTCTCTTGGAGGTGGGGGCAAAGTAGATGCTGGCTCCAAGCCTTCTCTACGACGAGACTGGCGTGGGGCTCCCACAGATACAAAAACTAGCTATAGAAACAAAAAACAGATTTTTTAATTGCTGTTAAAAATAAGATACAGTGAAATAACAATACAAAGCATAATGCATAATGCATAAAGCATAATAAATACAAAGCATAATGCATTATTTTGATACTAGCACATACTTGATGATCTTTAATGCCTAATTCTGATAATATTTTCTCATCAAGATCGCAAGTTAATTCTTGACCTTGAGAAATCATTCTTATTGGTCCATCAGACAGCATATTACCCAAAATTGGGCAAATGTTTCCCCCCGATGTTCCATTCACCTTCGATGAGGAACTACCGTCTTTCTGATCCTGCAGCACAAATGTATATTTAGTCAGATCTATTAATTGGCTAATAATCTGATATAATATGAAAAAAAAAAAAAAAAAAAAAAAAAAAAAGCTTACACTTTCTCTTCTGTGCTTTGCTTGTAGCTGTTCCCACCACTGAGTAACTTCAGCTCGCAAGTCGGCAACAGTATCACAGTTTTGCAATTCAATAGTTGCCTGAAAAGGTATTTTTCATTACATAAAATACAATAAACTTACATCAATTACACAAACACAATTTTTGAGAAACATCCTCACTAGGAAAAATTTATAACAATTTTCATTAAATCTGACATTCAAATTTAACTTCAAAGCATAAAAGTAAATGAAAAATATTGGTATGCTACATCTAAATAAATTTTATTTTTTAGGAAAATTTATTTAAGAAATAATCTGTATAAGTAATATAGCACACAGTGGTCTCAATTTCAAACTGCATGAAGGCTAAATGAACAGTATAAAAATTAATTAAATTTTAAATTTCACTTACTAAATATTTATCAAAATATAAATAAAATAACAATAATTTAAATTTTTTAAATCTGAAAGGTTTCACATTTTAAATTACGTCCAAAGTGGCATTTTTGTAACATTTTGTGTGTTACCTTTATTTATTAAATATGTTCCATACACCATAAAATTCAGTTCAACAGCAATGTCGCAAAATATTTTAAAATGAGCATATCTTTAGAATTTCCGATACACAGTTCCGCGCACTGGAGATAAAAAGGTTTTCTTTCACCATAGAGTGTCGCCATTGCTGGATTTTAAATTGTTCAGTTTATTAAAAGTTTTACAAAATATGAAATCGATAATAAAACGAATTCCAGATTTCAAAGTTGGGCTTTCAGATGACCATATTTGCAGAAGGATTACGTCATTCAAAACTGAATAGCTCTAGGTACCTTTGTTTTATCACAATGTGAGAAACATACAAACATTTATTCAGATTCTTCATTAATTAATTTCTTTAAATATAATACAGGGTGATAGTATTTGGCAGCAATGATTTGAAAAGTATTACAACCTTTTAATTTTTCAACACAAAATCGCAAAATGAAAACAATAGTCCTTCAGGGACCAAGCTTCTTTGGACTAATAATAATGCAAAGGAAAAATTCAAAGTTATATTTATTTTCTATCTGAAATCTAAAGGTTGGTAACTGAGAAATTTTTATTGGTTACTCTATGTAAATTCAGCTAATATTACAGTTAAATATTAAATTCACGGGCTGGCATTTATTTCACATAATTCAAGTTATTTCATATAATTCCAGTTATATGATTTGTTTAAATGCAAAAAATGTTTAAATGCAATGTCACCACAAATTAAATTAGAAATTTTAAAGAATACTAAATGCTGCTTCAGATATTTCAAAATGTATCAACAAACTTCTTGTTTCAAATGTGAACATCATCATTGTTCCAACTATCTGGTTAACAATCAAAATAATACAGCAAGAATTAATCAAATGAATAATACTGAGGATAAATGTAAAGAATCACTGAATTTAAATTGTAATGATGAGGATATTCAAGTGTGAATTAATTCTAATTCTGAAATTATCAGTTTAGTTTCACAGTGTAACACAGACATTACGTGTTCAAAAAATGTTTGTTTATAAGCATGTAGAGTGATTTCAAATTCTGAATTTAACTTTGAAATAATCAGGCTTTTAATAGACAATGGAAGCCAACATTTCTTTGGTAGTCAGCATTTAGCAAATGCTTTTAAAACCTGTCCTTTACATTTATTCCTTTCAAATGCAACAAGCAACAGAGAAAATATATCCAGTTGTAGAATCTGAAATCAAAGCAAAGAATAATAAGCAGTATTCAATTAAACTCAAAACATTATTCCAAGCATTTCTGGTACCATAATTTTCCCTCCAGACAAACAAGTATCAGAGTTTACGGCTAGTCATCAATTACATCTCTCTAACTTATGCTATGGAGAAAAATATTTAGATGTTGAAATCCTAATAGGATCCAATTTCTTTGGAAATTTTTCTTAGATGAAAAAATTGCAGTTAAAGATTTAGGTGTGAAAAAAACTGTCTTTGGAATGGATAATTATAGATTCAGAATTTAGAAAACAGAAAGCTTGCTCACAAAATATTGCCATTATGAAGAATGAAATACTGAATGACCTAAGAGCATTTTGGGAATTGGACTCAATTGGTATTTCAAAAGAAAGCATAAAATTGTCTCAGAAACATAAAACAAATAATTGATCAATTTGAGAGCTTTTTATCCTTTAATAATGGTAGATACTAAATAAATTACCTTGAAAATCTAACACTGAGGAATTAAACAATTTTTAGATTGCAAAGAAGTGTTTAGATTTTGTGAGTTAGATTGGATAAGGACATGGAAGTGTGCAATATGCAAAAATAACTGAAGAACAGCTGCAAGACAGATTTGTTCAAGTATATCAAATAAAGATCTCAAATCAAGTTATCACATGCCCCATACAGCAGTGAAAAGAACAGATATAGGAACTTCTTGAGTTAGAAGTGTTTTTGATGCATCATGTAAAAGAGAAAATTTGAAATCTTTAAAATGATTTGTTAGAGGCTGGACCTAATTCAAATCCTAACATATTAGATGTCATTCTGAAATTTTAGGAACTCAATATTACTTTCTCTGATGATATAAAAATATTTCTCATGAAAAATAATAAAGAAGATCATAAATATTTTGAAATTCATTTCCTTTCAGAATGAAAACCGTAAGTCTTTCAAAATTATGAACATGACATATTTATCATTTGGCATTACTAACAGTCTTATTCATTCTAGTAGCTACAATAAAGTATCACAATAAAAAATATATCAATAAAAAACCTAAAAGCTATTAAATGCTGAATTCATTTTTATATGTTGATGATTTATATTATGGAATAAAATCAGTAGAAAAGGCATACCTCCTTTGCCCAAGATTTTAGGTCTTGTTTGGGATACAGAAAATGACTTAATAGAACTAGATTTAAAGTCTTTAAAATCATCTTCAACAGGCTGTGTGTTATACACTAAAAGAACAGAGTTACAAGTTACAGCTAAAATGTATGATCCAACTGGATTTAGATCCCCATTCATGATTAGAATTAAAATTCTGCTATAACAAAAATGGATAAACGGTCTTGGCTGGGATGAGCAGCTCCCAAATGATATTGAAACTGAATTTAAGAAGTGGCTCAGGGGAAATAATTCATTTAAATGGGATATGAATCGACATAAAGAAAATATTTTCAAAATGCTGATAATCTAAATAGTGACATTTCTTTACATATATTCTGTGATGCAAGTGATGATGAATATTGAAGTATAGCATATTTCAGATATATAAATAAGTTTGATAAAAATAAAAATAAATTCATTTTATCAAAAAACAGAATAGCTCCTCTTAAAAGTTTAACATTACCCTGATTAGAATTGACGAGAAGAGTTATGGCAGCTAGAACTGCAAAATGTTTACCTAAATTATTCAATCATATTTGTCAACAAACATACTTTTGGACAGATTTGCAAATCATATAACATTCGATGAAAGGATCTTCTAGGAACTAAAAACCCTCTGTCTATAATAGGGTTGCAGAAATTCAAGCCTTGACAAATCCGAATGATTCGAAACACTGTGGCGGTTTGGGAAATTCCACAGAATTAAAAGTTTTACAGAGAGTTTACACTTAACTCTCTGACAAATTGTTCACTTTGGTGATTTGAACCAAAATTGTTACAAAACCGGTGCATAAACTCGCCACTATACACACATTATTAGAGAATCTATGTTTAAAATTTCTATTTAAATTAAGATAAACTTATTTAAATTAGAATAACCTGACCTGAATTTAAAAAAATCTACAAATTTCGATAGTTAAAGATGTTGGCATTCATAATATTCAACATAAATATTAATAATTCATACATTTTATGAAAACACAACAATGAAATATTATTTACTTTTTCAGATAAACCAGCTGGCTGGCAGATAATTCTTAAAGCAGAAACTTGCTTTTCACCAATATTAGATCTATGACTATTTACACCATGGCCATTAAGTTGCCATCTTCGAAGATGATATGCATATCTAGTGAATAACAACAAAAGTTAAAATATTATGAAAGAATTTTTAAACAGTCAACTAACAGGTTTAACATATTAAGAAAATTAAATTAATAAAAATATTTATTTGACAGAAGTCAAAAACATCATATAAATGATCTTACTAGATTACTATTATTAAACTGTAAAAAAAAAAAAAAAAAAAAAAAAAAAATAACTTCCCTGTTTTTAAAAAGTTTTTTTTAATGTTAATTTTTGAAGTACATTTAGTGTCATGTTAGTCATCAGTGACTGACAACAGTAATTCAAGTAGCATCAGCCACTTACAAATACAAATTTAAAATTTAATAAGTAAAAATCTCATGTTATAAATTGAAACTTTTAATACTATAAAACGACAAACTACCATCCTTCCATTCTTATTAATAGAACAGTTTACAAATTATGAATTACATTAAAATGATGCAAAGGTGCAGTTTTCTGCTGCAGAAGTCAGAATAATCTATGACTTTCATAGTTTTGACTACAGAAAAACTTTGTCCAAATTTTTCTAGATAATCTTCATAGCATTTTTTATAGAACCTTCTAACTTCAAATACCTTTCCATCTTTTTCTTGTAATCAGTGATGAAATTTTTGTGTTTTTATTTATAACGCTACTATTTGAGGTTTCTTCCTGCTCCCTTCATTTCTTTATTCCACTTACCACACAATATACAAGCATCGGTTTTATTTTGAAATTTCCTGCTGCATTTTCACCTAAGAGCAGCACATGATAGTCTTTAGAAGTTTTATATCCAGAGTACAATTTTTTGTTGATTGTTATAAAGATGTATGATGTAAACATTTTCCAGAAAAAACCTGTTTCATCAGCACATTCATTCAGCTTCATAAACACTCTTTTGTATGATTTTACTTAATTCCTTCAAATAGCTTGGGGAAGCTTCTTTACCTGCTCTGGCAAATTCACCATCAATATGAACATAGTTAATAAGAGCTCTCTGCACAAAATGGAAAAACCATTCATGATTTGACATAAATTTTCATAGATTCCCTCATCTTTGTTTTCTGTACTCAGTAGTCTGAGAGTCTTTGTAAAGAATTAATGCTTTGGCTTGAATTTCCATTTGAATATACAGAACTTGTTACTGGTCTGAGTTATTGATTTTGATACACAGGATGTTATAACCATTCCTTATGATCTGCAATGATTTTTCTTTGTGATTAATTTTCAAACTAATGTCTTGACCATTCCTTAATCTGACAGCAGCTGATTCGCCATGGACCATTTTGCTATCAAACAGTAATGAAATACATAATGAAAGTTAAATGGTTATTATGAAACCAGGTTATTATGAAATACATAATAAATATTATAATACATATAATTAATTACTTACATATATGGGATATACAGAAACTTCAATATCAAACAGAACAAAATTATCACATTTCATAATTATTGGCTAAACCTCTGAGATATTCTATTCTATCACCATTTCCATAATTTTATAATGTTTACATGATTCATCTAAACTTCTTGAAATTTTAATCAGCTAGTTCAGAGCAATCACTTATGCAAACAAGAAATTCACATTTTTATAAAACTTAATTAAAACTGAAATACTTTAAAATCTTGTTAGCCTATCTATCTTTTAAAAGTAAAAAACAGTATCAATAGATATACTAATAAGTTAATTTTTATGGCATACATAATGATATATTTGTAAATTAATGCACATAAAAACATTTTATATATTTTTCAAATGCTTCAATATGAGGAATATACTGAAATGTAAATCATCAAACCAATTTGGTTCATTATGGAGTAAAACCTTAGAAAGATGTTTTACCATAACTTTGGTTTTGGAGCAAATTTTTGCATGTGATTTTCTTTAAATACTTTAAAATCAAAAACAAAATTAATATTTTTTAAGTATATTAAATGACAAATATTACCTGAAAAAAGACTCCTTAAATATTACCTTAAAAATGGTTGATTTATTTTGAAATCTAAAAACAATTTCCTTTTTATTATCAATGTCACATTATATTATATTTAGTTTTAATATTATGCTTTATTATCATATATTATTTTATAATTTTATTTCAACTCAATTATGAATGTTTTTAGTTTTTTTTTTTTTTAATTTAACAAATATTGCCTACCATTAATGAATTTATTATTTTAATGTATTTTAATAATTCTAGAAGCCATGTTTAATAACAAAAGCTTTTTTCTTTTAAAATTTAAGGCAGCCAGAGGTACATGATATGAAACAAAATCGATATAATATAGACATGTAAAGAAAAATAAGTCTTGATGGTGAAATGGCTGTTGCTACTCAGCCAGCCTCTCATCAGTTTTCATCCCTCAACTGAACTGAGGACTAAAATAAACTAGAGAGACAGTAGTGTCAATAACGAATGGAAGCAGAAATGAATGCTGCTTACCATATTTGTAATCAATCTACTTCTAGAATTTAAATTCTTTGTAAATAGTAATAAAATATGTTGTTTTGTTAAAGGTGTCTGCTAAAAGGAAGCCTACCATTTTTAACCTGGATTTATGATTTCATGTTTCTGAATCCTTCTGTGAGCCGTCCACCACGAAGAAGAGAAAAGGTAAGGTTACCTTTTGGCATATTTTTATTTATCTTCTAAAAATGGCATGATGTTGCAACTGCAACAGGGAATAGTTTCATTCCCTCTTTATGAAACTTGATTATATCAAATTTTTACTCTAAAGTAAGTAATTTAAGTTTCTTGCTCACAGAATCCCTTTCACATTTTCTGTGTGTATTCATTATTATAACAAAATGGTTTTTACTGCCAATGTATGCATAGAAAACTGTTACAAAAAAGCTATTTTAACATTCAAGTTCACAAACATCCAATGCTTACTCATACTACATCATGCTATACAGCTTATACGGCAACAGTTATGACTGTGCTGAATTGCAATCACAAAGGTGTCTTTCATGCTTTACACTTCAGCTCTGACAATTATAGGCACTGATGCCAAACCGAGGTAAAAGTCAATGCATAAAATGCTTCATCAGAACTCAAGAATGAATGTCCTGAACATACTCATATACATATACACAGATCTAAAAGTTTCTCGCTTCAAAAATTCTATAGAAATAGAGAAGCTTTTAGTTTATTTTTTAATATAATCTTCTTTGTACACAGCAGGGAAAAAATAGGGGGACAGTTCTATATCCCCCATTCTACTGGGCCGATTGACAAAATTCAAATTGCGTTTTTCATGTCTCGAAAGTGCGCCTACGATACATATTAGATATATATATATAACACTGTTCTAACATAGGTATTTTGACATAAAACCGGACTTTTTCTGAAATAACATAAAAGTTTTTTTCCTATATTTCAATTCTACCACTCAAATTATGCCCAGACATTAAATTTTGTAAAATTTGGTGAGGAATTTATGGAGAAATTCAAAAATTTATCTTGGCAAAATTTTTTCAGTTTGACCAAGAATAACTAACTCCCTTTGCGAATTTCTTAATATATGGCAATCAATTTTTCTTTCTCTTCCATTATGCCGGAGCAGGAAAAAAAAAAAGCACCTCGTTTCTACTTTTTTACATTGTGGACGAGCGGCGAAAAAAGTCACATTGTTTCTACTTCCAAATAATTTTAGCAAAGTATCTAAACCACATCTGATGTTTTACCGCTTTCAACAAATATGCCAAATTTCAAAACACGGCAATATATAAATTCACGTATATCTTTGAAAATTTTGAATTAAAATATTGTAATAATTTGCAGGTAAGCTTACAAATATGTCTACTTTAAGATGATGGTAAAATTCTTATTGCTTATTATTCATTTTTTTTTTTGGAAAATTTATAAAAATTATTTAAAAATACAAATTTTAAAAATAAATCATAAAAAATGGGTGAAATTTATTTGGAATGAACCTCAATTTCAAAATGTGAAAGGAAGAATCAAATAAGCTTAATAAAAAGAGAGAGATTAATCAATATAAATAATACTTAATTTTACACATTTTAGAGAAAAATAGCACAATTTCACTCAATTTGCAGTCAAAAAAGAACACAGCTGACTTCACTAGCAAAACTTTCAAATTTATTCATTTAGTACTGCCACCTGCATGTTTACAAAAGGAATTTGTTGCTAAATTATTCATGCATAAGGTTAACAACTTTTGGGTTTATTTACATAATTTTCTCGGAATGAGGCAGAAAAATTAAATTTAATAATTTCTCCTCATATGTTTTATTTGTATATTTATAAATTTACTCATTAAAAATAAAAATTAAAAGTACACATAAAATAATGTATGTTTTGAAGTATTAGTAGTGCCATAGCTGCTGAATTACCAATAACTCATATAAACAACTAATTCATTTGTAACACTATACTCCTGATAATAACACTATAAACCAATCAATAATATTTACTTAACTAGAACTCTTCTATTTTTAAACTATCCATTTCTTTATCCTCTTTCCCATGTATTTTATTTTTTATTTTATTCTTCTGAAAAAAAATTTTGCTGACAATAAATTTGCAAACCTGGCATCTGCGCTGTGCTGCATTTATTTTTTCTAATTTCACTTTTTATTCTGTTTCAATCACCTTTACAATTTTGCTCTTCATGACAGTCATTACATCAAATATATTTTTTTTTTACTTTAATTTTGCAATTATACACATACTTTTACTGTTATCTTGCATACATGTGAGTAAATGTAACATTTTTATTTTGTGACCAATGGAGTAATTACATCCACTATCATGTGAGCATATGTTTCTCTTTCCTTATTTTCACCCCTGTAGTTAGAGGAAGAGATTTTATTTAACATTTGAAACTTATCTCAGAAATTCATGCAATTTACATTGATTCTTTCTGTTTTAGTATTCCAATATTTATTATTTAGAATGTTAATTTTAATTAATAATGCCTAAATGTTAATCCACAACTCAGTTTACATTTTCTTCTGTAAATGTTTCTTCTGTAATGTTTTGGGATCTATTAATCAAATTCATTTAAGACTTTTGGATTTAAAAATTGATATAGAAATTCCACAATAACTTTTCATTTCAATGCAGCTTTGAAATGCAGTTTTTTAAACAATGTTTTCTTGAACTGAGTGAATTAAAATTAACAAAATATGAACTTCTTGAATTCTAAAAGTACAGACAAAACTTCCTAATTATCAATAAGTGATGCCCACTATAATATAATAATAAACTCTGAATTTAGACAATATATCACTCTGTTCACTAATTGAGTTAGAGAATGCTATATGCTTAAACTTGAAGGTGCAGTTTCTTTCTGAAAACAAATAATTGGGTGCTAAGTTCAAAGTTCAGAAAAATTAAAAACAAAAAATCCACAATTCTAAGATCTCAATAATTATAATACAATATTCTTAGAGACATTTATATATATGAGGGGGGAATCTACCTCTTAGAATTAGAGAAATATGGAAATTACATTAATTTGGAGCAAAAGTTTGTATAGAAACTGCATGCAAACAATTTACATATAAAATTTCCAAAAATATTATTACAGAACTAATATATATTGTAAAAACTTATACCGTCGTCTAAATGCTTCAATGTGTGTTTTCAATAATAGTAGTGCTCTCTGAATAATCATCAGATTATGCTCTTCAGACTATAAAATAGTAAAAAAAAAATTATATATATACACTACGAGACAAAAAATTCAGGAAATCAGGTTTTTAAAAATCCCCCCCCTGAAATTTCTTTACATGCATACATACTTGCTGACAAAACAAAAATAAATAAATATAAATGAAATAATATGGTAGACAGAATGTAAATCATACAGTTAACTTGGACTAATGTTACAAAATATACTTATGGTACTAATTCATAATTTATTTATTATTTATTCCTTCATTTCAGACTGATTTTTATCAAGGTAGCAATATTTAACATTTGCCATGTAACAATTTTCCACAAAGTTATGTGGCATCCAATAATAATTTGATGATGCTATTAGTTTGTAATTAAAAAAAAAAAAAAGAATTAAAAAGATACCTTTTTGAACATGCTTAGAAAGAAGGTTCTACAATCAAAAAACATTAAAATATATGCATTAGGAAAATAATCATGTTAAAAATCAAGAAAGGAAGAAATTAATAGAAAACATCTTCCAGTCAATCGCTGTTTCTAAACAAAAATGTACAATACTTTTTTAATTATTCTTTCAAAAAAAAAAAAAAAAAAAAAAAAAAAAATGAACAGTTCACAAAAATTCAAATTTTCCTAAACAAATGAACCAAAGTTTAATGTGAAATGATACATATAAATACTTACTTCTTCAGGTTTTTCAGAAGCATTCATTAAACTTTCCATGCACTGTTCAATAAATTCTTCCTCTTTCTCTAAAGTACCATGATGTACTAAAACAAATTAAACACATAATTACTAAAAGTTAAAATGCTATAAATATATAAAACTACACTACATCTTTTATGCAAGAGCTGTTAAAATAGATTAAAATAGGATTAGTAAAACTTTTATTATTTATATTAATATTTAAAGCAACTTAATTACTTAAAGAAACAATGAATAAAATACACAGCTCTCATAAATTTACAGAAATGCATTCATAGTACTCTGAATTTATATTATTACAATGTAAAAATCATATCTGAAAATAAATTCTCCAAGTGCAGACTGCAGTTTCAACATTCTTAGAAAAAGAATATCACTGACTTTTTTTTTCCCCCGTAGGAAAATTATCCATATTAAAAGGTTAAAAAAAAAAAATAAACATTTTGGGATATACAGAATAATTGCAACCTGGAACCCATACTTTTTCATTAAAGTCATACTAGGAATTTTTAACTGGCTTATTGCTTTTCCCATTCTTTGGCTTGATAACAGAGAGAGCAAAATGATCAGAAACAGCAAAAATGAACATTATCTAATTTCATGGTAAAATTCTCCAGTACCCATTGTGGGAGGAAGAATATGACCTACAGTATTATTATTGTTATTATCTTTTATTTGAGAAAAAGTTTACATCAGTTTCCACAATTTGATTGCATCGGTTAATTTTACTGTTAAGACACAATAACAAGGATTTTGTACATGTCTCATTTATGTAATGGTTCTGATCAACTACTGCATTACGATTCATTTGATGCAAACTTTAGATCACAAAGCTTGATAAGCAACTTCACAAGTAAATGAATCATATGGCAGTAATAAAATAAAAGTGTGATCCATCAATTCATGTTTGAATTCCAACATTCCCACCTGGCACAAACTAAAAGGCTGTGTTGCCATTTTCACTTCCGGTCACATTTCAGTTTCTTATTATTCATATCAACAATAGTTATTAAAACAATTATCACTGAGAAAGAAACCAAACAGAAGCAGAGAAAATATATCAAAACAAAAGAAGTACATGCAGTACCAAGTAACCAAGTATGAAGTAACAAGCAATGAAGTACCAAGCAGTACGGCTTTAACCCTTTGATGGTTATGAACGAGTTCAGCTCGCAATCAAATCGTGCTTCATAATGAGTGCAAACGAGTTCCGCTCGGGAGCAAGATTTTGACCGAAATGGTTAGTAACGAGCACTACTCGCGTAGTGAAATTTTTCCCCAATGCGCGCTGACGAGCTGACTTCGTTCGCCATTATTATTCTGCGCTGATTGTGTTTCAAACGAATGCTACTCGCGAAATTTAGTTAGTTTTACTGTCTACAGATGGCAGTACGAGTTCCATGAATTTCTTTGCATAATGAAGGGGGATTTTTTTTTTTTTTTGACCTTGTTCATTTTATACGTATTTTAGCACGGTTTTTAGGGTGTTTGTACAGTAAAATGGCTCAAAAGCGAAAGTTAGACAGGTATGATGATGATTATGGTTGTGATTGTGATACAGAAAGCTTATCAAGTTTGGAATCTGATGAAGAACTTTGTTCACAGTATTTCAAGCTCAGAAGACGATTCAAGCAATGAGGAAGATTTTTCGAGTGTTCGACAGTGGTATATAATTGATTCAAGTTCTCACGCTCCTAGCCGATTTAGTTTTACTGGTGATGTAGGCATGAAAGCTTGTGTGACAAATATTTCTGAAATTCTCTATTAGAAAGAACCTACTAGATGATGTGTGGTATGTTGCAGCAAAAATGATGCTAATGGAAAAAGAATTCGCCATGAAACACGTACGTATTGCAAAGACTGTAATGCCCCATTATGTGCAATTCCATGTTTTAAAGTATATCACACACAAAAAGATTTTTAGGTAATTACTGTATTTATACTGTGCTTCATAAAGTTTTACATTAGTTGTATTTATTTAGTCCTTTCAATTTACCATAACCGTTAAAGGGTTAATGAAAAAGTACCTTTGAACCATTTACCTCTATTAATTTATCTTTCAATACATATTTAATATTTCTTATACATAGCTATTAACATTGTTTTAAAACATAATTGTAATAACATTTAAATATTCCACAGCAGATATTTGAGCAACTTACCATTAATATAATAATTATTCAGATACTGAATGGCAGCCATACTGACGTCCGTGTTAAGAGCACGGAGTGCTATACCCCATAGCTGTCTCATTCCACTAACCTGTTATAAAAAAAAAATTGCTTGTTTATACAAAACTTGTGTTTTATATTTAAAAAATGGCAAACTTTAAAAAATACATTCACTTTGAAAATTATTTAACCATTTATATTGTAAAATATAGTTTCATTGCAAAAACAGTACAGAATTTTGCAGCCATACTTTTCAAGAAATCACATATATTTTAAATACATAAATATATCCAAACATAAACAGAACTACTCATATGAAATATATATATATCATGTATTTAGAGAATACAACAATCAAATTCCTTGTCCCCCCCCCCCCCCCAAAAAAAAAAACTAAAGTTTCAGCATTTAAATTCAACAAAAATGTCACTGAAATTATGCATTAAAAATTAATGCCCTTCTAAACAGATGTGTACACTTAATGTGAAATAGACAGACTTAAAAAAATAGTATTCACAAATAGTCTGACATAATTTTGCATTAATATAACTTAAATCAAAAGCTCTTCCATCATTTTATTTTACATTTGAGAAAACAATTAAAAGTTTTCGCTCACTCCCATTTTAAATGTCACTTTCAAATGTTAACTTGCTTTTAATTTATATAATCTTACAAAAAATAAGCTATTTTTGTTAACATAAATAAAACTTAGTTAGAATCCTTTTTTTAATATTACAGAGCCCATTTGCAAGGATAAGATTATGCTACAAAAGCACTGATTAAAGAACAATGTTAAAGACTTAAAAAGCTTGCATACTAAGGATATTAAAATCCCAAGAGAAATACTATTTTTATAAATTAAAGTATTAAACAGCTGCTAAGAAAACCACCATGATTGAGAAAATATGACAAAAACATGCATTATTTTGCTTTATATTTTATTATTCTACAGTAGAGGTGGTCAAACTTCATGTCAGTAACAGCACATGCTGGAATTCAGGGAAGTTCAAAAGCAGCAACTATACTTTCCGAAAGACACACAAGTGCATATTTAGATCATTTTAAAGGCAGTGAAACAAGTTTCAAATGAAAAAAAAATAATAATAATAATGTCTGTTTCTAAACAATCATTCAGTAACAGTTTGCTTTACTTTCACTTGGACACTGAGTTTACCATATTTCACACATACATTTGCATAAGAGCTGAACTACTTATCGCACCATGCCCAGCCCTGTTCTACAGATAAGAATATTCTATACGTAATTTATAATACGCTTACAAAATTTAACACATATACACAATATATGAGAAAATATCTGAGACAGACGATTAAAAAAAATAATAATAGAAATCTATAAGAGAAATTAGTCTATTCTGCAACCTATTACTGCAGCACCCACTGCATAAGAAAATCTATTTTACATGAACTTCTAATAAGAATATCATTCAAAAACGAGGCATCAAAAACTTAGAAAACAGAAAAATCCAGTGGACAAATCGTGTCACTACTTAAGAGTTTAATTACCAAAAATCTTAATGTTATATTTGAAATATCTCTCTTTTTTATTTTTTTCTGATTTCTTTCTATAGTTTCTCTAATATTTATCCCTCATTAAAATATTTAACAATACTGAACTTAATGCTTTCTCTCTTTGTATACATATATATACTGTAGATAATCCAAAACTAACAGAAAAGTAAAAATTATATAATTCAATACATATAAATGGTAATTATGTGATTTTCACCAGAAGTACACTAAAAGATACAAGATTATTATTATTATTTACATAATGGCAGATTTTATTGCCAAGTTACATTTTAAACTGTCAGGTTTGCTCTAGTTGCATCAGAAGTTTATTACAGCACCATAACACAGTTTGCAATGCAGCTAGGATTAACCATCAGATGCCAATATGGTTAATATTGTTGACTAACTTCAAATAAAAATGTAACTAGTCTAGCAATAAAATCTTTCATTATTAAAAAAAAAATCATGCCTTTCTGTGAATTTTTTGCAAAAATAGAGTCATACTATTCATATTTTTGGAGTATTGAATTTAAATTTTTTCTCTTACTCTTGGATTGCTGTATATAATAAAAGTTTTGATTATGGTAACATACAAAATGATGCAGTTCATGCAGGTACAGGTGTAAGTGCAGTATTTTTAGAATTTCACCAAGGATTGTATAGATACACTCTCCACCTCACCAACTATGCATCTCCACTCCAATTTTGTGGGTGAGCACCCCAGGGGCAGTCCGAGAATCTATCACCTTTTTTTCTCCTAGTAGCAACCTCTTGAGAGTACTTTCAGCTAGCTGTGTATTTTGAATGCTCTCTTGCTGCACTTACAAACATCCTTGCCTTCTCCAAGATTTGAACCCAGGAACACTGGTATGGGAGTTAGGCCCATATCACACGGCGTTTGTTTCACGAACAACTCTTTCAGACAATTTTTCTGCCTGGTTTACTATTGAAAGAAAGACGTGCGACTTTTTCCTTCCTTTAAAAAAAAAACTGCAAGTTGTTCGTTTTCAACCAATCAGCTATCAGCTTGTTTGTAATGGGGAACCAGTTTCTCCTGTGTTAACCCCAAAGCGTTCTATGGTGATTGGCTGTTGTGGCAAAGCAGAAAAATTATTCCAAACAGTTGTTCTTCTGAAACAAACCGATGTGTGATAGCAGCCTTAGCGTCACTAAACCACTATTTCAGCATGTGACTGATGCAAAAAAGATGCATTTCTGCCAATCCAACACTTCTTTCTTCTTAATGAAATATTCTTGACAAAACATTTTTGAAAGAGCTGTGCACAGTTAAACCACTACAATATAATATGCTTGATCTTTAACAATCGCCTTTACTCTTTCCACATTTTTATAATACATTTTAAGTAAGAAAGAGAAGCACTAGACAGCAAGCTGGTAGCACAGAGAAGCTGAGAAGAAATGCCAAGATTATAATATGGATGTCAGTAAAGTTTATTATTGATTAATTAAGGCTTTGGTTTGTAAATTTTATTATTATTGACTGAATTTTTTTTTTTTTTTTTTTTTTTTTTTTGTATTATGTAAGTAACTGTACCATGAGCATCATATAAGGATCACACGACACGAATTAATTTTGAATAAATTCAGAAGGATTTATTATAAACATGCTACTATTTTTAGGATAGGAAAGGAAAGTAACCGAATTAAGTAGGATACATAAGAAGTTATTATAAATTAAAGTTAAAATTCTATCTTACACAAATATATATACACATATGCAAGATAAAAAAACATGTAAAATAAAATTCTTTAAAAAAAGGAGAAGGGGAATAATGCTTTCAGTTACTTTTTCAATTTAGTCGCCTGTCTCTTATATTCTAAAACAGTAATATGTTTAAAATAAATCTTTCTGAAATGCATCATTTCAAAATTAATCATAGGCATATAATTTTGATATAAGGCAGGTTATCCAAGTAATAGCAAAACCATTTCTTTTCATTATGCATTGTAATGTTATGAATATGTGAATATATACTTTAATTATGGAATATCAGGCGTGCTGCATGACCCAACTTAGCTATGTATGTTTTTAATTGCACCTTCTTTAAAACCATCCAGTTATTATCATTACAATTGACAAGACTCAAAATTTCACTACATATGCAGTACAAAGTCCATTATCCGGAATGATCTATAATTCGGACCTCAAAGCCACAAATTTTTTTTTTTTTTTTTTTTTTGTATGCTTTTCGCATGGGTGTTTAATACAGTCAAAAGTCTTTAATCTGGACTCGTCGGGACTTCGGCGATTCCGGATTATCGATTTTTCCGGATTATAGATCAACAGTTTAAATCTGGTAAGATGGCATGCAGAAATTATAAAATTAAATATGAAACCGTAATTATAAAATAATGAGCAATTATGATCTAAGGGTATCAAATTTACCAAAAAAAGCCTAATATTTTTTGTTTACTTTTAAACATTTTTCACGCCGGATGCGTAAAGCATACCTTACCCATAGCCGAAATTAGAAAATTGCAACCAGAAAACTATTTGATTTGTATTCGTGATATTTATAGACGAGGAATTTGATTTAAATCATATCAAAGATGGGTACATCGAAATTAAATATACATTTAGTAACCGAATAAATAAAACATCTGCCCTAAGATAACGATAGTGTTGACAATCAACTTCCATCATTGCGCGCCGCTACGTCCCCCCCCCCGTGCAGAGCGCGTGAATTGATAAAGATTCGGACGGTAGCAAACAAAGAATATGCCTTATCCATTTTTTGTAGCAATTCGTTTTTGTTTGATGGACATCGAAACTTACTTTCGTTTTCTAGATCCTTTGGGAGCACCAGCATCGGAAATTCATTGACATAATCGAAAGTTCAAGCTTACTTTTAGAAAATTCTCTTACAGTCTGCAAAAAATATAAGCCAGATCCAATTCGAAGATTAAAGAACATGCAATCATCAACATTAATGAAATAGATAATTAGATAATTTTCTTATACCGTCCGTATATATTAAACGCGCACGGAAAACGTATTCTGCACTTGCGCAGACACATATGCCCAGTCGTAATGTCTTGCGCGCACGAGTAAAACGCCTATGCGCATGCGTCATGCGGCGCTGCGCAGAAAGATTTTAGCTTGAGGTCCGGATTATAGATCTTCCGTATTAGGGTGTCCGAATTAATGACTTTTGACTGTATATCCGGACGGTATAAGCTAGGCTAAAATATCTTACTGAATCTAAGGCATTTCAGTTAATGTTGCGATTGTGCTGTTCTCAATCTTCTAATTGAATCCGGCTTATTATTTTTCAGAACTGTTAGAGCAATTTAAAAATTACTTGAACTTTTGATTAGTCAAAAAGAGTTTCTAATTCTGAAGCTCCCAAAGGATCTCAACGAAAGCATGTTCAATGTCCATCAAACAAAAAGTGGAATCGCTGCAAAAAAATGGATAAAGGCATATCCGTATCAAAATTATGCAAAGAGCATGACATTAGAAAGTCAACTGTATATGACATAAGCAAAAAGAAAAAGAAACAATGCCGGACGACAAATGCCCAAATCATCAATCAATTAACAGACAGTGAAATCTGTAGTATGGTTCTAGTTCCAGAAAACACCACTTCTGATAGTGAAGCAAGTGACAGAGAGGTTATTGAAAACGAAAAAATGTCAATTGACAAGGTAGTCGGTATTCTCGACATGGCAATTACAGGACTTGAACAGTGTAATTAAACAAGAGATAATGTATGTCTACAGAATTAAAGAGAAGAAAGTATTAGCATAAAAAACGAAGCAACTTAAACAACTTACATTGAAAGAAATGTTTAATAAAATAAACAAATAAATATTAAGCTTTTTTTTTTTTTTGGTAAATTTTGATACCCTTTAGATCATAATTGCTCTTTATTTCATAAATTATGGTTTCATATTTTTAATTGAATAATTTCTGCATACCATCTTACCAGATAAATTGATGATCTATAATCTGGAGAAGCCCCTAATCTGGAATCGCCGAAGTCCTGACGAGTCCAGATTATGGACTTTGTACTGTATATGCATATGAAATACATAACTAACATATAATGCTCAGGAAGATTGTACTTCTATACAAACAAATTTTAACATTGTACAAATACTATTTTAACAATAAATTCATGCAATAACGTTCAATTAACAATGAAGGTTTATTTTATACATTTAAATTAAAGGCAAAAGTAGCTTGCAATAGCAAAGCTATAATAGTGTAGTTTAAATACATACTAGCAATACATATTCCTACAATATAAAGTTATGGCTGCATAAAAGTAAATAATATAACTATAGATTTTTACATCTGCTGCTGAAGATGGAGTGTCATAGGATGCAGTTGCTAAATGTGCTATGCTACTCAGTTGCTGCAGAAGATTTAAAGCCATCATACTTGTTGATTCAGGAGGTAACTGAGGCATCTAAATTTAGGAGAAACCAATCACTTAAAATGTTTAATACTTAAATCATATGAAGAATACATGATTAAGAAATACTAATCACATCCTATTTCACCGACTATAAAAAGAAGAAAAACAAACTGCACACTGAATCTATGCTACTAGTTCTTTAAGTTTCTCTTTTTCTAACACCTAAAATACTCATAAACCAGAATGATATAATTATTGACAAGTATCAGCTGTAGTACCTGAAGAAAACTGAAAGAAAATTAAGTGAATGAAAAATTGTTTCTTTTTTTTTTAAGTCATGCAAATAATTCTGATACTGCATTACTTGTAATCAACACAAGAAGAGATAAAGTAATAATTATTTAACTCCGAGCATAGCCACATAGTTAATCATATTGAAGAAAAAAAAAAGGATTGGTTTTGTTAAAATTAATCACAGCAAAATTTAATTTGAAACACTGGAAACCATCATAACAAAATAATATAGTCTTAAATTTCTTAAGGGATTAATATAAAAAAGAATACACTCAAAAATTTATTAAAAAAAAGTAGTAATTTTTTATTTACTTTTTTTTTTTTTTTTTTGAAAAAAAAAAAAAATTAATTTCTTAAGGCATTAATATAAAAGGAATACATTTAAAAATATAAAAAGTAGTAATTTTTCATTTATTTTTTCTAGTTCCTTATACTTTCAAGAAATTTACTTATATTTGATTTATCAGAAATATGCACAAATTCACTATACTAGTACTACGTACATTGAATTAATGATATTTACTGTGATCTAAATTTTTATTCACAGTATGAGGCTGTGAAATATAAAAATATGATGGAGGAAAATATGAGTATTTATTGTTTAAGAGATACACTGACTACCAATAAGTATTTGGACACCTATGCAAATGACGATATGTGCGGTCCCAAGGTACGCCACAGACTCCGCCGGTATATATCGTGTAGGAAACAGCATCGGCTTTAGTCGCATGCAAGATGCCTCGCAGTTCAGAACTCTCTTATTTCGAGAAAGGTATAATTATCGGGTATGACAAATGTGACCGATCCTTAAGTGACATATCTAGCGATCTGCAGTACCCAATATATAGTGCTATTGATAAGAAGTGAGGGGAGCTGTGATTGTAAAAGCGCCCCGAGCGCACAACAATGGGAGATAGAACCAACGAGTTGTCCAGAAATTGGAAGAACCGACCCACCGATGTCAACTGTGAAGTGCAGCTCAGTTTACGAGAGCAGATAGTTTACGAAGACACATACAAAATATTCATGTTAAAAAAAATACCTTTTCATGTGAAAAATGCAACGACGTGTTTAGCAGAAAACATGATCTAATGAAACATAACCGTACTCAACATGGTACTGTTCAAAGTATTAAAAGGAAAAGTAATAACCCCCCCATCCATTAAACAAGCGAATGAAGCATGCAGCGTCGGCCTTAAACGTCTTCAGTTCTTTTACAATTATCGCCACCAAAGAAATTAATCAAGATCTAGAAATATTTTTAAATAATATCAAATTAAATATTATGTCGAAACTCGAGGAAGAAATCAATGAGAAAAAGGCTTTAAAATGGTACATTATAGTAACAGCACAGTTCTCTAGAATAGGACATGATGGGACGAAGAGGTTATTAAACCACATTTTAGATCTACCTGCCTCACAAGTTTTAACAATAGAGAATGTTGAAGAACAATTGAATGAGGCCTATAACAAGATAAAAAAATCGTTTGAAGAATTTTTACAAAATGGCTCGGGATGGACATTAGATAAAATTGAAAAATTAGAACTCTGCACAGCTCGATATCATCCCTTAGCCGCTAGTAGTTATATACCTCTTCCCAAAGAACTTGCCATGAAAAAAGCCATTTTAAACATTCAAAATGAGGATAAAAAATGTTTAGTGTGGTGCTTACTTGCACACAAATATGATCTTTCTAGAGAAAATAAACCAGAACGAGTAAATCATTATAAACCCTATGAACATGAAATAAAATTAGGAAATATTGAATGCCCTGTTCCTATTACAAAAATACCATCTATTGAAAAACTAAATAATCTTAGAATAAATGTATTTGGATATGAAGAAAAAGAAGTCTTTCCCCTCTACATTTCAAACAGAAAAGAAACTGATTGTATTAATTTACTTTTAATCAGTGATGACACTAAACTCAACATTATTGCTTAATAAGAAATATGTCCCGGTTATTAGGTAATCTCACAAAACATGATGGAAATATGTTCTATTGCATGAGATGCTTGCATAGATTCACCCGTGAAAACCTGTTAGAAGAACATGCAAAATACTGTCAACATCAAAACATACAGAGAATTAAAATGCCCTCAGAAGAAGAAAAAATATTAGAATATACTAATTATCAATATGAAGAGTCTATTCCGTACATTATTTATGCTGATTTTGAAGCTTTAATTGAAAACATAGACACTTGTACACCTGATGTAGCTACTGCGTCTTTTACAGAAAAAATACATCATCATAAAGCTTGCGGATATGCTTACATAATTGTAGGACCTGATGGGAAAAGCGTTAAACCTGTAACAGTATATAGAGGTCCAAATGCAGTAGACCATTTTATACAAAATATTTTACGTGAAGAAGAGGAAATAGCCGAAAAATTATATAGTATTGTACCTCTTTCCATGACATCTCAAGATGAACAAAATTTTAAAAATGCAACTCATTGCTACTTATGCAAAAAAAAATTTGAATAATGATCGTGTAAAAGATCACGATCATCTTACGGGAAAGTATAGAGGAGCTCTGCACAATAAGTGCAATTTGAAAATTTAAACTTCAAAAGAAAATTCCTGTCGTATTTCATAATTTAAAACACTATGATGCACATTTAATCATGCAAGGCATCGGCAAAATTCAAAACAGGGAGTTTCATGTTATACCTAATAATATGGAAAAATATATTTCTTTCAGTATTAAAAGAAAATGGAATAATCTAAGAATATCTTTAATTTTTATTGATAGTTTACAGTTTATGAACGCGTCTTTGGAAAAACTTGTATCTAACTTGCCTGAAGAAAAATTTAAGATTTTAAAAGAAAATTTTCCCAATGATCAAAACATAAAATTATTATTACGGAAGGGAATATATCCATATGAATATGCATCAACTCTTTTGATAAATTTAAAGATACTCAGTTACCATCCATAGAGAACTTTCGAAAGTACTTTAACTGGTGAAAGTATATCTTCGGATGATTACATTCATGCTCAAACTGTTTGGCAAGCTTTTCATATTCAAAATTTAGGTGAATATCATGATTTATATACGTAAAAAGTGATGTTTTACAATTAGCAGATGTGTTTGAAAATTTTAGACAGCTTTGTAAAACTTACTATAGTTTAGATTGTGTGCGCATTTGATGACTGCACCTGGATTAGCTTGGCAAGCCTGCTTTGAAAATGACTGATCAAGCTTTGGAATTATTAACGGATGTTAATATGCATTTATTTATAGAGCAGGGCATTCGTGGAGGTGTGTCCATGATTACCCAGCGTAAGTCTGTAGCAAATAATAAATATCTGAAAAATTTTGATTCAACTAAAGAAAGTAAATATATCTTATACCTTGATGCAAACAATCTCTACGGGTGGGCTATGAGTCAACCCTTACCCTATGGAAGTTTTGAGTGGGTTGAACCTCATAAGAATGTCATAGAAAAGATTTTGACTTTATCAGAAGACAGTTTGGATGGATACATCTTGGAAGTAGACCTCGAATATCCCAAAGAACTTCATAATGCTCATAACGATTATCCCTTAGCTCCAGAAAAAATGAAAATAATAGCTAATCATCTTTCACCTTATGCAGTCAGTGTACTGAAAAATAATAAATTTATCTCGAATACTAAATTAGTTCCTAATTTAAATCCTAAATTTAATTATGTCATCTATCATAAAAATTTACAGTTATATCTCTCTCTTTAGGTATGAAATTAATGCATGTTCACAAAATTATAAAATTTAAACAAAAAGCTTGGTTACAACCTTATATACAGTTTAATAATACAGATCAACGTAAAAATGCACAGACAGGATATGAGAAAGATTTTTTTAAAACTAATGAACAATAGTGTGTACGGTAAAACTATGGAAAACGTGAGGAAACATGTTGATGTCCAATTAGTCAATACAGAAAAAAGAGCGAAAAAATTGGTAGCTGCACCAACCTTTCATAATTTCAGAATTTTTGATAACGATTTGGTTGGAGTACAAAGGTTGAAAAACTGTGTTAGTTTAAACAGGCCCATATATGTAGGATTTGTCATACTAGAACTTAGTAAATATCATATGTACAATTTTCATTACAATCATATCAAAAAACAATATGGAGAAAGAGCCAAGCTACTTTTTACTGACACAGACTCTCTCACGTACGAAATTTTAACAGAAGATGTATATCGAGATATGAGTTTTCATACGCATCTGTACGATATGTCAGATTATCCGAAGACTCATGCTTTATACAATATCAATAATAAAAAGAAAATTGGATGCTTCAAAGATGAAATGAATTCCGAACCAATACTGGAGTTTATAGGACTGAGGGCGAAAATGTACTCTCTACTGTTGGATGAAAGTGAGAAGAAAACCGCGAAAGGAGTTAAACGAAGTGTTATTAAAAGGAAACTTAAACATAAAAATTATAGAGATTGTTTAGAGAAATCTATCTTCACCAGAGAATTACAATATAATATTCAGAGTAAGAACCATCATCTTTTTACCATGGCTATAAATAAAATCGCACTTTCAGCTTTTGATGATAAAAGATATATTTTAAAGGATGGAGTGCACTCCTTAGCCTATGGGCATATCAATATAAATAATGTTTAATGGAAAACAAAATGGATTATTTTTAATGTGGTCAATGACTTCACAGTGGAGTTATGGGAAACCTGGTGAAACTGGTGACCCTCAGGTGTCAGAAAGCTGAGGCTTTCGATAAAAGCCCATGTGTGTGTGT